AAGGATCCATGCTGCTCCTTTAATACTGTACTTAGAAATCTCAGCCAGACACCTACTTTCATCACTTGCTTGTTTTACCATTTTGTGAATAGTACAATAATAGAACATAGGAATGATGAAATTGAATGTTTGACTGAGATTTGTAAGCACAGTGTGGAAGGGGCATCTTGGCTCCTTGTAGATAGAGAAGATTTCCAAATGACTAGAAAATGAACAAAATTCGGAGAATTTATTTGTCATCTTATAACAAGGATCACCTTTCCTCCAGTTTTCAATAATCTGCTCCTCATTTCTGACTGAGATCTTGTCTATGCCTTATGTCACTCCAACTAGTTTATAACATGATCTCATTAAATACAATTGGCTGCACCCAACTACATTGTGCCAACCACAATACTATGTATACAATATGTGTTCATTAATTTAAAAGCCGTATTTGGCCATTTGAACAACAAAACATCAATTTCTTCATAAATGCATATATGTATGTATACATGTAATATGTATAGTAGAAATATATATAGTCAGGCCTCAATATTCACAGGTTCAAAATCCTCAGATGGAACCAACCACAGATGGAAAATATTTGGAAACAAACCCTAATAAAAAATTTAAAAAAAAACAATGAAAATAATACCAATTAAAATATAGTATAATTGACATAGCATTTACATTGTGTTAGATGCTATATGTAATGAAAAGATGATTTAAAGTATATAGGGGGATGCTTATAGGCTATATGCAAATCCTACACAATTTTATTTAAGGTGTAGCATCCACTGATTTTGGTAGGATCCTGGAACCAGTCCTTTGTGGATATTGAAAGGTGACTCTGTATGTGGACGCAAGTGTATGAATACATACACATACATGCAAATGCATCTATATAATTTGTCTAGGAGAAACAGGGATTATCTGAAGTATTATTCATCCTATGATGTTTGTCCCAGTTCCCATAGTTGTTGTCATTTCCCCTTTTTCTATACTTTACGAATATGGGTGTTTTCCAATCCCCATCATATCTTGGTTGGATTCTAAGGAATGAAAATTATTTATATATATGTATATCTGTGTGTTTGTATATGTGCATGGGTATGCATGTATGTGTGTATCTCCTAATACCTATTTGGCTACTTAATACATATTAAGGTTTATAATTCTTTTTACCTGGAATATTAGAACAAATCGAAAGTATCTTTGTGCTTGAACTTCAACTTTTAAATTATAACCATTCAGATGATTTTAGTGGGAATTAGTTGATATGGACATTTAACACAGATTTCTTTAAATTTATACTCTGTTGTCATATGTATATGGGGTTTGTTTTATACGTTTTGAATATAGTTGTAGACTAGTATAGAAAAAAACAGTATCACCAACATTGATGGAAACAGTGTCTTAATTCTTGGTGGGTTGTTATTTGCACAAGAGTTGCTTGCACCGTTATTGAAAATGTTGTAGTTCCTTTTATCAAGTCGAATGAATAATATTCTAGCATGTCTTTCATTCAGACTGCCACCATTTGTCTGTTCCCTCTTTTTTATTAGAATAACTATTCATTGCCCATCCATAACTGTTCTGAAATTATCTATGTTGGGACATTTTAATTTATTGATTGCAACAGTCTATCATCATTCAAAATTAATCAAGTAAATTTAAATTATTACTTCTCACATCCTGCTTTAACTTCCCTCACTTCTTTGGTCCTCATAGCCAGTGAAAGTTCATGTAACAGTTATCCTCCTCTTCCCTTTGTTACTTATGCATTTAGCCATTTCTGAATATATGAATTTCCATCATTACTAGTTAGGTGTATTTCAGATTCCACTGGTACTTATCTCTGTATTATCTTAATGAGAAATTATAAGCCATCTCTCCCTACATTTTGTGTTACTTACTACTATTTTAAGTAAAATACCTCTTCAGGTAGAACCTATTAATAATTAGACAGTAGCTTTAAAAAAAAATATGCTTTTATGAAATCTTTAAAAACAGATTATACTTTCGAAATCTGATTGAAGGTCAGGAGCTAGGAGTAGAAAGAGACAGTAGGTATATTTCCATGCTTTAGTTTTTGCCTAATGATTTCGAGAGCAGATAATACACAAACGCATGGTAGAAAAACTGAAGAACATAATGCAATCTTACCGTTGCTACAGGGCTGAGCCCTGATCTCATAAAAGCTTTGGAAACATAATTTAATTAATGAATTTATTACTGCACATTTCTTTTAAAATCTGCACAGTATAGCTAAGATTTGAATGATTCTTTCCCATGATTTAATATTGATTTTTAAAAGACCACGGCAAGACATGGCATGCAAAGCCTTTGGGGCCACTAATATAGAGTCTAGGTGCAGGATAAAGTATGATACTTTCTAGGAGACTGTTTTTCAAAGCGGATTTTACATAGTCCTATTACATAAGATGCTCCAGGACAAGGATTTTATGTCGTATAAGATTTGAACAGATTTTTAAAGGATTCAAGTAGTAAAGAAATTTCCTCTTTACCATGGATCTTCAAATCCATTATCTTCTTCTTAATTTTAAAAATACTATTAAAATCCTATAGACTATTTTTGAGAAAGACTAGAGTATAGATTTTATGATGGGTATGAAGGATTTGAGTGAAACTGATACAAATTTTATTATTTAAAAATCTATTTGAAGGCCTAGTTTACTGGCTCTTCCCTCTTTGCTTCAAAACATTCATGAAAAAGATACTTGCCTGGAAATCAGGACAAGAATTAACACAATGTCTTATCTATTGATAAAGGCAAAGGCTGTTGCTGTTTTTACAAATCTGAATATTTAATTCTTAGCACAGTATCCCTGTCAAAACTTGCTTGCAAGGAAAATGAATAAATAAAGAAAAACCCAGATTTGTTAGAAACAAATTATTCAGAAATATTGTCTAGGAAAACATTGTCTAAAATTTGTCCAAATTAATGTTGTCTATGACCCACAGGTTATATCATACATCAAGGTATTTTAAAGGCAAAGTGTGCTGTGATGCTATGGTTTAAGAACAGTTGCAGTGGCCTGAAAATTTCCTGTTTTGAATATTGAGATGAGCCACAAGGTCATTGTATTTGAATCACACATGTAGATTTCCTTGATTACTAAGATATCTGCAATACATACATACATAAATCTTGATAATATTTTGGTAATAGACGATCAGATATCTTGGAAATATACATGTATTTCTCTTTTTTCTTTTTCTATGTATGTATGTATGCATGGATGTATTTATTTATTTATTTGGGACAAGGTCTCACTCTGTCACCCAGGCTGAAGTTCAGTGGCGCAATTACTACTCAGTACAACCTGGACCTCCCAGACTCAAATGATTCTTCTGCCTCAGCCTCCCCAGTAAGTAGAACTATGGATGTGTGCAACCGTGCTTGGCTACGTTTTGTATTTTTTGTAGAGACAGGGCTTTGCCATGTTGCCCAGGCTGATCTCATTCAAACTCCTGGGCTTACGTTTTTAAATGTGATTTTATCTCTTTTACTGAGACACCCATCTCAGTCTCTCAAAGTGCTGGGATTACAGGAATGAGCCACAACATCCAGCCCCTTTTTATTTATTTATTTTTCTTATAGCTAGACTACTTTAAGGAGAAAATGTTTTGACTGGAAGACGCAAAGACTAGTCACCATTTTAGTTCTTCATATTAAACACACAGCTGGATAATTGTCGTGCATCTGTCTTTGGGATTCTTGACAGCTTTGCAGCACTCCTACGTGTCAGATTCTTTCTCTGTGCCTAAGAAGCTGAAGGCCAAAACTGAGACTGTACTAAAGGCCTTCACTCCTTTCATCAAAGTGAAAGGAGCCTTCACAAACCTTTGAAAATAACGAATTCTCTTCCCCTTCCTGTTAGCTTCTATGGGACTATTGTTTTGAACTTTAAAAACTTGATTTTCTATTATTGTACAGTTTTATTTCACATTTTTCTTGTGAAATGAAGTTTAGTGTGAATTCTACTTCTCTCCTCTGTAAAAGAGATAAAAATCACATTTTTAAAAATTGAGGACATTAAGTATCATTTCTTATTCAAATGCTTTTGTGCAACATTAATATATCTTTCTCCAGCTAATAGATACAGTAATCAAGAGAGCATAGTGTGTTACTTTAATAAATATTTCTGATAATTTTTTTGTCATTTTATACACAAATTCCATAAAGGAATGGTTGTTTGGTAATTGTCCTACCATTTATAATATTACCATACTTTGTTTTTAATCATATGTATTTTGTCATTGTATTATGTTAATGCAACATCATTTGTCATTATAGTAATATTATTTTATTGTTGCATTATTAATATAAACTAAATGACACTCTAAAATGTGTTGTCCTAAACCTTGTATCTAAAAAAAATTTTTTTAAATGAGTGTTTCAGGATTTAACAATAATCTTTTTTCCTTTTCCTGTTTTAAAGAAAACAGAAACTACCTCTCTTAATTTGTGGAAAAAAATTGAGCCTATAGTTTGATTTAGCGGTGAAAAAGAATAAAATATTTATAAAATACAACAAAATGGGGTGGTTTTCCTTTCTACTTAGTCCCTAAGATAACTTTTCAACATCCAAAGTAAAAACATCCAAAATTTTAAAAAATTATAATTAGCTCTTCTAAAGTAATTGAGAAAAATTTATTTTCTTTCAATTTTCATATTTACTTATACTTTCAAAATAAGATACTTGTTTTAAATCTATCTAAAGGTCTTTATGTTATAGGGAAGGTAGCAGTACTGATAGAACGGGGTCCATATTTCAAATGCTTGCTATATTCTTTATCAATGTCTGTTAGTCCCTACCAAAAGTCAACACCAGTTCCTATTTATCACCATTCAAACCATAACTGAATAAGAAACAGATGATATAATGCATTTAGTCACAAAATATTAATGTAGAGTTCTAAAAGTGACTAGATGGTCTGTTTTTGGCATGTCTACAAGAAAGTTTGTTTTACATAAATGGCTTTTCTGCAAATTTGAAATGTGAATATATTTTATTTTTTCCCAGTGAGTACACAATACACAATTCTTTGACAATACTATTAATCGATTTTATGCCAATTTCTTCTCTGCGCTAACAACATCAAATGAAACACATTAAGATTTTGGACGCTGCTTGGTGACTTAATTAAAACTACAATTTAAAAAAAATCCATCTATAAAACAAAGTATAAAAAGTCTACCCACGGCCACAAAATCCCTTTTCTTGCAACACTTTAAAATCACAACAAATGCTTTTGAAATTATGAGATTTTAAAAAAAATAATGAATTGAACATCATTTTTTTTTTTTAAAGCATGGTGTTTCATTTGAAGTACACATTATAGAGAAGCAAAATAATGTGGAAAGACATGTTGCTTTAAAACAGTTCTTGTCATGGAATTCCACAAACAATATACAGAAGCAGATGAACAAATTAGTGAATGTTATGTTTCTGCATATCTTTAATACTGATGCAGTTAATTCCCAGCAGTGAAGATAAACCACAGTTTCAAGCTCAAGGGTACTGTTACCATTATATTGTCAATGGACAATTACATAAATTTATTGAAAAGAAATTGGGAGGTGTTCCATAAAAGCACATTGCAAACTTTCAACTCAAATCCTATTGAAAACATATTTAAATACTCAGAGCATTAAACTATGACATAGAACACCATTAAATCTTTTTTGTACTTAAAACAAGTAAACTTTGCATGGTTTTACTTTTCCTGGTTGTGTGATATCTTATGCATTGGTTTTGAATTTTCTATATCCTCCCTTGAACTGGATTCAAATCCTGTGAAGGAGTCAATTCTTTTCATGCCCCTGTACTATCCCACCTTAATTTAAAAATTGTATGGAACATGTTTGGAAGAAGGGTAGGGCGACGCCACCTGCATACACTGGTGTACCTGAGTTTGGGCATCAATACAGCTATTTTCCCAAAGAAGACTTTTCCTGTTGTGAATGGAGCTGTGCTTGTGCTGGGCATGACTGCATAGCAGCATTGCCTATGCGTGCAAGATCAGATTACGTTCTCTCTCACCCAGATTCTCTTTTGCAGTCCTCATGCAGGCCTCTGTTTAGACCTGCGAAAGAGCGAGCTTAGTGAATTTCTAGTCACGTTGATTGAATCAGCGATGAAATGAAAACCTGCCGTGGTTCTCATACGTGTTTGTGTTTCTCTGTTGACATCTGACTCACACTGATTAGGAGCTTTTTACATGTAGCAAGTTGACAAAGGTTTTTAATTTCTAATAATTGTTTCTGAACTCTTTTTAATAGCTACGACATTTTATTTTGCCCTCAATCTACTTAAGGGTGATATTTTGGGAGCATAATATGACTGCACATTTAGTTTAAAACCAGGTTTAACAGGCAACATGGACTATTCTAAAAGAATATTGCAAGTAACCCCAAGGTTTGCACTGACATAATTTTAACTATAACAGTTAATTTTTATATGCTGAAGATAATCAGGAAGGTAGGATGCTATGCCCATGTTATGCCAAAAGTCATCTGTATATACATACTTCACTTCGAAGCCTTGGTTTATTAATCATCGACACCTACCAGTTGCCAGGGATCAAAGGTTATGTGTTACGTATGTAATGAACTAAGGCTTTAGACTAAACTGGGTCATAGAGAACCTAAAGAGGTATCACAAAACCTCTTCAAAATTTATTTGCCTTTAAATAGAAAGAGGTTATGTAGGGAATTGCATAAAGAGATATTTAAAGTCCTCACATCCTAAAGTTGTGAATAAGTATGTATTCAGTCTTCGTAGAAACTTTTCACCTTCCTCAGTCTCCTTGTCCCAGAGAAATCAAACTGCATTAGAATTCAGGCACTGAGGGTAGAAAGTTGATAAAGGGTTTAATAACTGTGTCTCAGAATTCTTTTTCTCTTCAGTGAAGAAATAAATTACATGACACCAAAAAGCTGTTGGGGCCCATGAAGAGCATTATATCCTATACTTGCCTGTGCAGTCTCAGGGAATAAAAAAGATGGAAATGTTTAATTATGTTAACCCTTTGTTATAACAACATGACATAAGTTGGTTACTGAGCCAATAATGCGTGGAGTGTGAATTGTCATTCAAAGGGGTCCCCTATTTTAGAACTGATCCTAATTACGTTGAACATTTTTTAGATGTACCAACCACTGAACTTATCATAGGAAAAATTGGAGAACTTATAGACAGAAATAGAATTTAAGATTGTGCGGGAAACACATGGGAAAATGTCACAAGTGGAAATTTCAGGAAGGTCCTCTTCTACTTGACTGATTGACTATACATGTACAGTAGCTAACATATATTTTAAAATCACATTTATTCTGAGCATACATAACTAATGTTCAGGAACTTCTTGTTGTCAAAGTCGTGAAAAGAAATGAGGCAGGACAATTATTAATGTCCACTTACAAGGTTTGGTTTTATTTAAAAAGTTTATAAACATGCATTTTTTTCTCCTTTAATTTTTTTCTTTTCAATTTACTCATTCAAAATGGGTCAAACGTATTTTAGTTGGTAGCCAATTTCTGAGAATGTACCATAAAATATTTATTCCAATAAATCTACTTACTGTGAACTGAACATACTCTCAGCACTGCTTTTTAAGCACGTACAATTTGGCTATACATTGGGTGGCATAAACTTCACTTCTTAATCAAATAAAACACAAATTGTATATAGATTGTATCACTTTTTAAGTCATGAATTTAAGTGATGCAGCTCTATCCTCTAGTGTACTGTACATGTATTAGAAAAATGAAATAAAATATTGCAATAGAGTTCTTATTTGGAAACAGCTCGAGTATGCCCTAATAACAAATTGCTTCTTTAACTATTTGCTAGATATTCTAGAGTTCATTTTGTTCACTTCCTTGGGGAATTTCATATTATATTCTGACTTAATGATTTGGAGAACTTAATTATGATAATTCAGAAAGTGTTTTTTAAAAACTGTAATTATAAATACAGCTCTTGTGAAACACCTTAATTTTGCTTGTTGTAATTCTCATATGGGTCAATTACAATGACAGGTAAAATTGATTCTAAATAAAACTTTTATTTCTTTTTTTAAGCAAATTTATTACATCTTTGCTACCTGCATCTTTTAATGCATATTCAATCGTAAGACTTAAACTACCTTTTGGTGACCCCTGCTTTTGTTAATAGTAAAAGCCACCTTTCTATTATTTTTTTTTATTGACTCAGTCCCTGATATTCAAAGAAGACTTTGCCAACACCATTGTTCCTTTGCATCTTCCTATTTCTACACCCCAACTGAAAACCATCTAACATAATTTGTTACAACCATCATTATCCAATCTAGCTTACAGTACAGAAACTCCCTTCACATTCAGTCTTTTTCTTCATGTCATGAGGAGTAGAGATTTGTGCTTATCACCAAATAAAATTGCAGTGCAAAATTTAAACATAAAAGTTACACAATTAAAAGTTAATATATGGCACCACAGCCTATTAATTCACATATAGTACAACAGACCAATAAGAACAGACAATAATATGAACAGAGCTAAAAAGAGTGAGCTTGCATAGCAATGCACAAAAGAAATTATATACAGAGGAAAATCCTTTTCTTCCTGTAGGGCGAGTTTTGTTTTTCCTTTCTTTTTTATATACTCCTGACAAGAAAGAGTTAAGGTGGGTGGTGTACTTAAGAGAAGAACACAATTAAAATATCTGTGGGATATGTGTGGCTGTGTGTCTTTACATTGCATTTACAGTTCTTTTAATAGTACATAAATAAAGAAATTGTTCATTGCACTGTTTAGTGTCATCAATTCCATGAGTTTGGACCTGATGGTCCTTCAGAGCAGCTTTGTATGTCTCCTCTCAGTTACTCTAAAAAGAGAGAAAAAAACAGAAATAAATTTTAAATTTTAAATTGAGCATTCTACTTTTCTGACCAGCATAACCAAAAGCAAAGCAAACAGATAGTTAATAAAAGTAAGGTATTCAGATAGATTAGTTTGTGAATTTAAGTAATTTTACTTGAAGGAGATGACCAAAGAGTAAAAGAAAAGAAATACCATAGAGTTTGTAAATTTAAACACCCACAGAACTATTTTGGTACTCCTGTGAGTCTTTCATTGCTTAAAAAAAAAAAAAAGTTAAAATAAAAATTTAAGTAGCTATGAATTAAATTAAAATTCTAAACAAATCTTAACAATAGATTAGCAATAGTCAACAACGACAACTGAGATCATTAAATAAATTTATAGTTTTGAAATTATTTCTCTTTTCATCATCTCACAGAATCCTCCAAACAATCTATGATGTGAAGGTAATGGTAATGCTTTTTCTGATGCGGAAATAGACAGATTAGAAAGACAGATTACTTTCTCATGTCCAATAACAAGTTAAGTGGTTGAGAATATTAGAAAGAGGGCTGTTTTCTCAGCAGTGCTTTAAAGCAGACTTCAAAGAGGCAGGTGGAAATATTCAGCAAATATATTTCTGATAATGAAAAGTTGAATTGTAACTTTCCTGAGGAAATTAACATAAGGCACTCAGTGTTTTTTGCTGTGACATTCTTAACTTTCCCTATTACCCAGTACTTTATATTTAGAAAATTAATTATACTAACTACTTGTGCCGGCTTTTATTCACATATGGAAATTTATTTATAAAATGTTATTGCAGCCAAAATATTACAGATTAATTAATAATCAAAGTTCAACTCTTCAAGAGTGACCACCCAAATTTAAAAGTAAATAAAGAGCAACTTAAGAATGAGGAATTCCTTAGAAGTTTCTTTAAAACCACCAAAAGGCCAACGTCTCCCCTTATTTATTGTGTTCAGTTAAAACGGCAAAGAAAATGACAAATACGCATTTAATATCACTCATAAATATTAATTACCTAACTTAAAATAATTTTCATAGCATAACTCAAAGTTAAAATAGCAGGAACATTGATAAAAACGGGCTGCGATAAATATAGTGATGGCCCAAGTTATGACCAAATTTGTTGAAAATTGCAATTGATTATTTTTGTAGCAGAGCAAGTTTTCCAGTAATCTGAAACTCATTTAATACGGCAATGTTATTCATCCAATATTCTTTCTGAATCACAATAGCCTCTTAAATGACCTACAGCACTTACATAATTCACCTGTAAACTGTCCTTGACTGTTGGAGCCCATATATCCTATGTCAAGAAGGTCACTGGCATTGCGCTGGTGGCCTGCTCTCAATACTTCGGCTTTCCTAGGTCCAGTGGATCCTTTAGAAGAAGCGGTTCCTGATGAACTGTGGCCACCTGGAGATGGGAAATTGGGCTTGCTGTAGGGCACCAATGTCTCCTCTGAAAAAGAGGAAAAAAAAAAAACACAAAGGGCTAAGTTGAACAGTAACATGGAGGCAAACTAAACTTAACTGTTAAATATTACAGTGTGAATGGCCTACTTTACCATTTCATTCTTTAGTAAAATTAAAATTATGAGTTTTAATCAGAAGCGGATATTAAAGAAATTTCTACATGCAAGCAACATTTCCTATAATAGGAACTGAAGCAGAATTAAATTAAAAGAGATCTTGGGATAAGTACGCAATGTTATATATTATTTTCCAAATTTAAATTCATTATAAAAGAGAGCTGCATACAATGAACTACAAAAGCATATCTGAGAATAATTTCTAAAGTTCAATGAGGCTCCAATCTGATTTTCCCATTAAGACTGAAGAAACATGGTTTATGTTTCAGCTGAAATTATGGCAACATTTTCTCAATTGATTTAGATAAATAACAATATATTAGTTAATTAAATAAATGTTTAAAATTTATGTTGCTTTTTGAGACAGAAATACATTATTTAAAGGGCTGTGTATTTCCTTGAAAGAAAGAGAGCAACTCACACATTTACATAAATACTATGCTAATATTATTTATACAGATTGTCTCTCTACAAATAACTCATGACATATATTACAAATAATAGTTTAAAAAATATTTTTTCTTTTCCTTTCTTCCCCTTACTCCTTCTCTTCCTCTCCACACCCATCCTCTCTGCTTTGCACTTTCTATGTATGGGCTATTATTCCCTGATTAATGCTGACTGAATTTCCTATTCCTCATCTTATATAGTCTTTAATGACAAGAATCACATAATTTCTCTCACAGCCTGAATGGTGTAACCTTTCTAAATGTTTCACTAAACCTAGCTATTAAAATTATCATCTTCTAGCCCTTGCACAAATGACATTTTCCAAAAACTTGAGCACCAAGTTGTGACAAAACATAGTTATGGAAAATGAATGGAGAGAGGCCTACCTAGAAAAGATTGAGTCCAAATGAATAAGTGACAGGGCATTTTTTTCAAAGACTGTATGTATGTGTATGTGTGTGGTTCAATACTCAATGAATCCTGACATGAGGTGTCTCAGAAAATGCATTTATGAAGCAGGCTCCCCACCTCCCACCCACCATCCAAAATCTACAAACGATGAAATTTATTTCTGTGACATTTCCAAAAACCTTGATTTATAAAAAAGAGCATTTCCCATAAACACATTAACAATCAACTAAATCAATCAACTGATCAACAGTTGGAGAAAGTGCAAGCCCAGTTTGACCTTATCTAAGGAGAATTCTGTGACTGGGTATTTTGTTGTTGTTGTTGTTTTTGCAACTTTGTAATTTCAATGAATGCACCTATTTGATGTGAGTTCTCCTTTTGAATGACTAGTTACTTCAGTCAAAATGAACAAACTTGCTGAAGGCAGAAATTAAACTGACACAAAAAGGAAATGCAGCGATCTTAAAAGTACTTGACATAAACATTAATAAGCAAAAAATAAAATTTTATACTCAGGAGTGTAGACGAAGCTTGGAAGTCTATTGGGATCAAAGACTCTATAGAAAGGTTGACTTGAGAAACAATGCCCATTGGAATCAGCCTTAAGGCAGGTACTGACAAACTCCGCTAAGGAATTCCAAATCCCATTACTGATCTAAGGCAAATGTATTTCAGATGCTCTTAAACAACTGCCATTTCTAGAATACCTGGTAGGAAAAGAAATGGTAACAGTCCACGCTTTCTTGGGACTGTGCAGAACACACCTGATCCGACACCTTGTTTGTGTGGGGCTTTCCGTATATCTTCTTGGCGTTCTGTGGAGTTTATCCATTCCTGCGTTTGTCGCTGCCACTCTAGGGAGGTTCTAGCTGGACAATCCAATGAGCTCTTTGTGTCTTCTAAGTTGGATGCATGTTGTCTCTCTAGAGAGCTTCCTTTTCTCTCTGTTGAGTTTTCCATGTTACCAGCATGCTGGCTCGGGCCTATTTGCTGCCTTAAACCCTGACCTGGCGGGGGATCTGGTGGTGGTGGAAGATCTAAAAATTTTGAATAATGTTTAGAATGGACTAAAATTTTAATGAAAAATACAGATTTTAGTTCAAGTTGAAGAAAACCTTTGCCCTCATACAGGTATTACCCATACAAAAGAAATTTCGGAAAAATAAAAGTCAATTATTTATTTTCAAAACTCGTATTATTGATCTCTCTGCTGTCTTTTGGCCATAGCATCATTGAAACAAAATTGACTAGTTTTACTGAATAGTTAAAGAGTTTTCAGTTATATGCTGAGGATATCACTCAAGGTGTAAAGGGCAGTTCATGGTTTATAGTCAACAATCCCTTGTCCAACCCTTCTTCCCCAAAGTAGAAATACCATGACGCAAAATAAGATCGCTAGAAATTCCAGAAGCTGTGTTAACAAAAGGCCCCAAGAACAAAAGCTCTCCTGCCAATCTCCATAGAAAATGTCACCCTCGGGAAATTTAGAACTATATGCCATGTCATATACAACATATGACTGCCTTTACCCATGTATATGGCACTTTTAGCAACATTAAGCTAACATTTATTAAATGCAATTAACATTCTGCTTGACAACCAATTGTGGCTGTTCGTTTCATGAGTTAGCTAATGAGTTACAACTAATACATTATAATCTTCCAATGTATTAATTGTAATAAGTAATAACCAATGTTCAGAATAAAGATTGAATGTGTTTTATGGTACTAGAATAGGCAATGCATCACAGAAATTTGAGATATGGTAGAAGAGACACTTTTTCAGAAAAGCTCTTTAAATACCAGATAGCAAAAAAATTAAAGTTTCAATATCAACTAGCTATTCATCTCTTTTTTTATTAACTCTTCAGATTGCAAGATCTTTATATTTTGTATGTCTTCAATTGTGAAATCATAGTCCTTTCTTTCACTTTTAAGTATGTATTCTTAGTTCTGAAATTACTTTGCTGAAGATTTTGAAATCTTCTGAACATCAATTTGGATCATTTTCTTCTCATTTTTCTTGCATGCTATTGTAAACTTCTTTGTTCACCCTTAGAATATTTGTAATTACATTATTTTTCATAAAGGCCAAATATATAAAATATACATTTATTTCATTAATAGAGGATATTGTACATAATGTAGTCAATTCTTGCTGATGCCATTTTCGTAAATGTATTCTCCTGTTTCTAATGATATTCTGTTTGTGAAGCTTAGAAGGAAAAAGTATAAATTTCTTGTATGCAAAAGATAGCTCCCTTAATAGACAGCTAAGCTGTCCCTTTCAGACTTTAAGAAGCTTTAGACTCTGTTTTATGTGCAAAATGATATTATCCTCCATTGAACTGGTAATGTTGGTCTCTGACACATTTCTTCTGAGTTCCCAAACTGGAGCAGCATAGCCAGTTCTTACATATGCCCTCATGTTAAATTATGAATTGCTTATAACTGAAGGGAATAAGGTCTCTGTCTGGGAGGATAAAGTTGGATTTGGAATATTTCTGCCACAATGAAGAGCTAATCTAATATTGAGATATCTGTTTGTTGGATAATCCCATGAGTTTGGTGTTTCCTTCATATTCAATAGTACTGACTTCCTTCACTATATGTTATTATAAATGCAAATTAATTATTTCATTTGATTTATTGAACTTAGACTGCCAGTGAAGAGAAATTATTGTATTTGCTTCCAAAATAACTTATCTTGTCATTGATTTTTATTCTCCATCACAGAAACTTAATTTTTAAAATGGCCAAGACAGCATCTGCTTATGCCAGCTAAAATTCTGATTACTATATAATTTAACCTAAAATTATATAGCTTCATAATTAAGTAATATCTTTGGAGTTTGTATATTCTAAGAAGAAAGGACATTACATGCACATGGAAATAAACTTATTGGAAAAATAAATGGGATCAAGAATGGTTTTTAAGAAAATAAAAGTATGTAATCAAATACATTTACTTAAATTTATTATTCATTTCTATGTTGATTCATTTCAACTAAATCAATTCACTAAACATTCTCTTCCTGGCCTACTGAGGATCAGCTCTTTTCAGGCATACAACAGTCCAATTAGATAGGTGCCATTATTATCTTCCTTTTTTATATAAGAAAATAAAGGCCCAAAGAAATTTAAAATCTCCAGCTTGGATCTTTCCTCCCGTGAACGCCAGACTCATAGAACCAAACTCAGCTCTAGATCATCCTATATAAAATACGCTTCCTCTGCAGTGTTTCTTCTCTCAATTGGTCACAGTTACATTCTACAAATTAGCCAAAATTTCAGAGTGATCTGGTTTCCTTTCTTTATGGCCTATGCTAATTTCATAACAACTCCCATTAGCTCCAACTCCAAAATTCAACCTTTCTTAACACTTCCTTGATTCTCCCTTGGCATGAACCACCATCATCTATTCCCTAGGTAGCTTCCGCAATCTCCACCTTGCCTCATTTAGCACATCTCAACACAGCAGCTAGAGTGACTTTTAAAAAATAAAAACATAAATAAGATATGTCATTTCCCTGCCTTAAACACAGACACATGCAACCACACATGCACACACCCCATCCAGGGGTTTCCCGTTCAAAGTATGCGCCAGTGGCTAACTTAAAGGTCTAACAAACACTAGCCCTCGTTAGCTTGCCTGACTTCATTTTCTACCTTGTTACTCTCTCTGCTCCAGTCATATCATTCCCCTTCCTTTTCATCAGACGAGTTCTCAGGCTTTCACCTGCCATTGTCATTTCCTGGAATGACCTTTCCTCAGGTATCAGCATTACTCTTTTGCTTATGTTATTCCACTCTTTTCTCAAATGCTGCCTTCCTGGTGAGGCCTTCCCTGATCAGTTACTTAGAAATACTTCCTCCCTCTACCTGCATTTCTCAACTCCCTTCCCTTTGTTTTTTCTCCAAAACAGTTGACACCATCTTACTTATATTTTCATGTATGTACCTAGGTTGGTCTTTATCTATCTTCCCCAACTAGAATATAAAAAGTCAGGGGATTTTGTCTGGCCCCCATTGTCTATTGTATGGTATATGCTTAATGAGCATTTGAATGAATAGATTAATTAATATGTAAATTTGCTCGAAGGCCAAAGCTACTATATGGTAGAGCTGACAAAGAGCTCCTTCTCTGAACAAGATATTAAGAACCAGAGGAAAAGGGCCAGGCACTGTGGCTCATGCCTATAATCCCAGCACTTTGGGAGGTGGAGGTGGGCAGATAGCCTGAGGTCAGAAGTTCAAGACCAGCCTGGCCAACATGGTGAAACCTCATCTCTACTAAAAATTCAAAATTTGCTGGGTGTGGTGGCACATGCCTGTAATCCCAACTACTTGGGAGGCTAAGGTAGGAGAATCGCTTGAACCTGGGAGGTGGAAGCTGCAGTGAGCTGAGATTGCACCATTGCATTCCAGCCTGGGTGACAGAAGCAAAACTCTCTCTCAAGAAAAAAAAAAAAAAAAAAAAAAAAAACCTAGAGGAAAGGGAGAATAGGCTGGAAAGAAATTAATTATCTGGGGAAAACAGGGTATAGGGTGCAGATCTATCTTCCTTATTTAGCATTGGTCAGTATATTGGCATCCAAGGGTATTATTTGATTTATAAGTCAAATGGAATACAAGATTTAGACTCCACAATGCCTGTTTAAGAGGGACTGTACAAAAGGGAGAAGAACATCTTTAACATGTGTACATTTTTTCAGTCTTTGGGATAGAGACTGACATTTCTCACCATTCATAATCTCTCTTACAGAAGAAGGGGGAGGCTGCTCCCTCAGCCCAGTAGTTAGTTTGACACCACGTGGCAGAGTTGTTGCCAATGAAATCGGAGAAGTGATGTGTGCCACCTGCCATTACAACCTCCCAGCAACGACTCATGTTCTGTCTCCTCCTCAGAAACCATAAAGATCTGATCTAGAAAATGGTGGCATCCCATTACCGAAAAGGCCTATATCTTTACATTACAGCTTAGAAGAGAGCAAACACTATTGTAAAATGTGTGAAGCACAAGTTTTATTGTAAAATGTCTGTACATCCAATGCTGTTAAGCATTAGACTTCCCAAAAATCAACTTGATTTGTACATAAAAATGTTATGAAATGATTCCTGACATATGGATCCATATCATATAAATGCTATGGCATATGCATTTGCTGCAAAACAACAAGGTTCTTAAGGATAATCTGTAGAGTGCCATCCAAAATAAATGTCTTTGCACTGTATCATAATTAAAATGCCTTTGGATTAAGCACTTGGGAAGATATGTGGGCCGAAATTTCCTTTGCAATATTACTACTTCTAATCATTTCTAATCAGAATCATTTTCTAATAACACATAATCCATAACCCCTTTTTGAAATGCTAGTAAATTTGAAAATTTAGAAACCTATTTATTTTTTAGAAAGATAAGCAATATATTGATCATACTTTAGGAGGTAGCTTGCTTTAAGAAAACATTCTAAAAAAGCTTGCAACAAATGTGTTTTAGGAAGAAACAGATCTTTCTTTTGATGATTTATATTTTATATCTTCCCCATATTCTGAATATTATCTTCAAACATTTCTGCAAAACCACAGAAAAATCTATACCAACATTTTTCTCTGTCCACAATATTCACAGCAGAAAAAATATACAAAATTATCAATTATTAGATTTGTAACTAGCATTATCAGTGAAAGTATCCCTTTTTATTTAGGAAGAATTAGATCAACATTACAAACAGTTTTAAGTGCTCAGTTAATCTTCTGAACATCTGAGGCAAAAAGGCAGTGGTGAGCATTTTTTACTCACCACAGGATATCCATTTACAGAGACTTAACAATCTCAATTTTACCCTTAACCTTCATATTCCATTGAAAACAAAGTAAGCCGGAAAGGTAAGTAAACCTGAAAGCATGTAGAACAAATATATTTGGCTTTTTAACTCTTCTTAGCTTTGTAAGATGATAAAAGAAAGCACAAACAGGGCTGCTGGATTGAATACTCCTTTCCCCAAACTAATAAAAAATAAATGCATTTCTTCTTTTCCAGTTAAGCTTCATTCTGTTCTGTAATGATAAGTGTAAGTGTGTTAAGGACTAGATCATAGCTTTGCTGAGATAGTTACACTTTGGATTCACTAGCGGAGCTTTAAAATTACTCATAACTGGGTTTCACCCCAGAATAATTAAGTCTGAATATCCAGGGTATATTTTAAGTGCTCCTCAGATGGTTCTAATGTGCAGTTTTAAAAAATTTATCCTTTTGGTGTTTAATTGAACTATGTTAGGATAATGTTTGTATGTGTATAGGGTATGGTGCTGAGAAGGAAAAAGAAATTTATCTTTCAATCTGACTTTGTACTAGACACTTCAAATATGTGTTCACATATTCTTAGAATATAACTTCAGGCTATATATTTTAATTTGTGCTTTACAATATATAAGAATTAAGTTTAAAATATGGAAAATAGACTATATTTTGTAAAGTTAATTAAATACTCATTGAACATGGATATCTTTCAGTAATACTTGTGTTTCCTAAAACCAGTAATTAAGCAAATATTCAAATAATGGATGCTAAATATAAACAGGAAGATTGAGATAGATCAGCAAACTATGGCCATGGGCCAAATCTAGCCACTGACCATTGTGTGAATGATGTTTGGTTGGAAATCAGTCATATCCATTATTCTACTTTTCTTATTGCTACACTCATGCAATAATGGCAGTGTTGAGTAGTTGTGACAGAGACCGTATGTCCCAAAAGCCAAAATATTTACTATATAGACTTTAATAGAAGAAGTTTGCTGACCCTTTGCTAGGCTCTGGATGTTTGTGTACCCCAAATATTCATATGTTAAAATCTTAATCTCCAATGTGATGATATTGGGAGTTTCGGCCTTTGACAGTTGATTAGGTGATGAGGGTGGAGTCCTCAAGAAGGGATGAGTGCCTTATAAAACACATCCCCGTGAGAATCTTCTGCCTTCCACTATGTGGCATACAATGAAAAAGGCACCCTCTATGAACCAGAAAGTGGATCCCCATCAGATACCAAATCTGCCAGTGCCTTGATTTGGACTTTGCAGACTCCAGAATTGTGGGGAAAATTTCTGCTGTTTGGAATGTACCAGCTTAAGGTACAGTCACATGTCACTTAATGATGGAGATAAGTTCTGAGAAATATAGTGTTTGGCGATTTCATTGTTAAGCAAGTGTCATATAGTGTATTTACACAAACCTAGATGGTATAGCTGACTACATACCATTGCTCTGGGCTAAAAATCAGTACAGCATGTTACCGTACTGAAAGCTATAGGCAGTTATAACACAATGGTAAATATTTGTGTATTCAAACAAAAAAGGTAGCATAAATACAGTGTTATAACCTTATGGGACCATTGTCTTATATACAGTCTGTCGTTGACTGAAACATTGTCCTGCAATGCATCACTCTATTTTTTACAGCAGCCCAAACAGACTAAGATATTCTTCAACTACATGAAGAGTATACCTGTAGCCTGATATTGGCTCTGAAATTTGTGACTAAAAATTACTGATTTATTTCAAAGTCTTTTATTTCCAAAGTGAAATACCAGCTAAGGTATTGAAATTTAATACTATAAAAGTTCTAATAATATAAGTGCACATGCAGCTTATGTTTTCTTTCCTACTCTTAAAGTAAAACGATTACTAAAAAGTATTAATGAAAGATGCCAGAATGGCAAAAAAAAAAAAATCAAAAAAATGGTATGGCATATATTTCTTGAGGCTTAATAATACAGAAATAATTCTAGATTGTTTTAAAAAGTGCTGTTTTATATAAACAAGACCATATTGCCAGGTTTCTGCCTTGTTGTGTAATGAGGCAATGGCTAATCTACCATGACTATGTTCATCTACATCAATGATTGGGGAGAGCACATCTCTTCAGTGAGGAAAACAAGAGTAAAGAAAAGAAACCTACCATCTGTCATTCCTTCTCTCCGATGAGGCAATGCTGGTTGTTGGTCCATCCGCCCTCCCTTGTGTTTTTTAGTGGGCCGAGGCCTCTGACTTTGACTCAGGGCTGCACTGGTGTTACTGTCAGCAGAAAATGGGCTGGTAGGTCGAGGTCTTTGAGAGGAGGTGAAGGCTTTTCCTAAAAAGAAAACAGAGGGAATGGGGTATAGGGAATGTCATTATAGTATACTGATTCTGTCCTGTATTTCAGTTCTAAGACTAACCTGTAAATCTACCTAGAGATAACATTTGGAGATACCAAATATTGGTACACATCTGTAGAAAAATATATTTTCTACATTTTCAGCTGCATGTATTTTGTTCGATTTTAATAAGCTAACAACACCCACACTGACCCCCTCAAAATCAAACAAGTAAACATAAAAGAGATCTGGCAATCCAAAACTCAATATTGCATGATTATATTTTTATTTAACCTTTGACAATATTAGTGATACTTTCATAGATATATGCAAATTCATGCAGCTTTTAGTTCTTAAAATTAAAGAAGCTATATATGAAATAAAATATATAGTGTTTTATTTGTTTAACAAAATTTTACCCTTGGGAACTTACAAAATCTCTCTGAACACAGAAAAATGTCATATAGTAATTACATCTTAAATTTTACATGAAAGGTCTGCTCAGACACGTATATTATATTGACCTTCCCACTTATGCACAAACACGATGAATTCTATCTCTTTTGGCAGAAACTCAATAACATCTGTGTAGAGGATAACAGGTTAAAATCACCTTGTATATCCAGCATGCAATATGTGTTTTCTGATGAATATTCTTGTATCTGAGCAGGCTCCAAATTCTCATTGAAAAATTAAATGTGCTGTGTCCTTTTCTTATGGATTAGAGTAGGTATTCAGGGAAATTTATTCCGGGAAAAGGTTAGCTAATAAATTTTCAACAACTTGTGATTTTAATGTCTTGTTTATTTTAGTAACGGAGGCCTGGTTTATGTGCATGTATTTATTTTCCTGTGTATGTTTTCATTTCCTACAACATTATTGTATGTAGTTACATTTTCTTAAGTCGATGTGACATGATATTACTTAATGTTTTATTAGCTATTAGCATACATGCAAGAAATGCACTTAGGCCTTCCAATGTATTAGTTTCCTTGCACGTTCTCACTGTTCTGCTTACAGCTGATGCCACAAAAAGCACTCAGGCAACATAAAGTTTCGGACTTATGCCTTATAATGCAAGACAATTCAAATAACAGTTCTATTGCAACATATTTTAGTTTGGATGCTATTTGAAAAATAAACCTCTGCAATGCTTAGAAGATCTTTCTTATTTCATTTAAAGATATCTAATGCATGCTCAAAAGAAATATTGATGATGTAATTCCAAGAAAACTTCCAAGACTCATTTTTATAACCTGAGAATTTAGTGAATGGTGAAAATCATTTTTCTTTACTGTGTGAATACAGTTAAGATTTTGCAAATGTCCTTAGTATTTTATTAGTTTGTTTTGCAAGGTAGTTCAGTTTAATTCATGTCTTAGAATATTCCTATTGTGTAGTTAAGAATTATACATACAAATATTAAAGCACGTATCATGCCAAAGTTACTTTGTTTCAAATGTTTACAAATTACCAATCTATTATTAATTCCACATTCTTTTTTTTTGTGAAATGAGCAGCATATGAAAAATGATACAGTTGTTCTTTTATATGATTACTTATCATTCTCAGAAATCAAAACTACTCTAAAGAGAAATACACATGTCATTATTTTATTCAACTTGCACATGCAGTGGGTTCATCTTTAATTAGCATCCTTTAAAACAAATAAAAAATATTGTATTAAAATCTTAATAGCCAAACAATTAATAAGACCATAAGCCACTTGAACTGTTAAGACCGACAGTCTTAGACCCATACACCCCATGCTAAGGAAGCCTTCCCAGAAAATGCATTTGCAGAGAGAGATGGAGCAAAGGAAAGTAATGGAGATAAAAGCTGAAAAATTTTAATCACTGCGTACATTATTAATTGTGTGAGGACTTTGCAAAGTGTGAGTTATTGAAAATTTAATGGCAATCTTAGTTGCTGCTTTGCCATAATATAAAAAGGAAGCATATTCCAATTAATCAGCAAAGCCGTGAAGAGAAAGGAAAATAAGGGATAGAAGTTGGTGAGGAGGAGCCTATTCTTGGCTCTGCAAAACTAGCAAGAGAAGAGAGTTTTGGTAATGGAACATCCAAATTGTGTTCATGCATATTAAAGAAAGCCCTACCGTCAGTCTCACGAAGGAGAGAGAACAGGAGAAAAGAGGTCAGTGTCCAAGGACAAGATTCTCTCATGCAAAGAGTGTTGACTTGGAGTCTACCAACCTGTTCTTGCAAGGCTGGTTCCATCCAGCCTAAAACCAGCTTTATCTGCTGCTGCCACCAGTGCTTGTGCAAAACTGCCGCTGGCAAAGATAGAGCCATCTGAGGAGCTACCTACACTAGATCTATGACTAGAAAAGTTACGATCCTCATCAGATGCAGAGCCCCATCCATTTACCATTGAACCTAAAAACAAATGTAGTTGTCTAGTGAGTTGTATATATTGAACATCTCATCTGCTTGTACACACTATACTAATGAGCAAGTAGGCTGTCCTTGCTTCTTCCTTGAAGCTTCATCATGATTGCTTTAGCTAAATGCAAGTATCATTTGCATTTTAAACATTTTTAGTGCAGAAGAATGAATCTCATTTAAAACCTGTATCGGCTTGCAGCACATGAGCAAAGCATGTTCTGTATTGTTCAGCTCTTACATTGTTTAAATTTTACACAATCATTTTCCAAAAGAGAATCACGATGTGTATTTTAAGCTACTGTAATTCAGAAATGAACACTTTAATTAAAACAAGCAGTGTACGTAAACTTATCAAAGACTCAGTTGAAGAAATAGTGTGAATATATTATGAGTTTAATTCAGACTCCAATGATAATCTGCATAGAAACTACACTGTATACCATAAAAAGGCAAAAACAATTTCAAGATTTTAAAATACAAACTTAATTATAAATAACAAAAATTCACAAACAAAAAATGTACAAACAATATCATAAATGAACTTAGAAAATAAGAAAAAATGTATTTTAAAGAATTTCTATTAATTTAAATGTTCTTTATCTTTTCTTCGCCTTTTAAGTTACTTAAGAACTCCAGTTTTCTCTTTAGTACTAATATTTATATTAAAAAGTAACATTTATAAGGACTATCATTAGCATTAATATGAAGGTTTTTTTTCTGCAAAATGCAACATGGCAATAAAGGAAAATAGTTTTATGTTTAAAGAGTTGTAAATTGTAAAGATACTCAGAACTATTTTTTTCTTAATTTTCTAGCAAGTCTTTTACAATTTTGTCTTTTCTTAGACAAAAACACACGGAGAACTTTACTACTTAATAAAATTAATATTACAAGATTTATTTATGTTGGTATACCATTAATTCAAGACACAAAGAGCTACCAAGTATTGCTTATCCTAAATTTGTTAGAAGAGGGGCAAAAGTATTTGTAAGAAACTAAATTAAGATTTCTAAATAAACAAAATATATATAAAACAGATGAAAGTCAAATGCTATCCACTGTTTAATTTTTTTCTCCAATATTTTAGTGACAAGAGAATAGTTAGGAGTGCTGCCATGATGCAGTATTTGTATTTTAGTCAAGGGGCCAGGATACGACACGGATTCATGCACTTTCAATACAGAGAAAACAGAAGCTGAGCTGGTTAGAATGATCTGAGAAGTTAAAGGGGTACTAAGTGTAGCAAAGAAAGATAAGAGTTTTGATTCTGATTGCCAAAAGCACAGAGGTACACTTTTTACTTTCCAAACAAATTCCCTTGACACAGGCCACTGCAAGGAAGCTGAGATAACACCAGTAACTGAGCCTCATCTAAGAGAATCAATTCTGGGTTAATAACCACAAGTCAAGGACCAACAATCCAAAATGGAAGAAGAAATGATGCAGTAGGCTTTGTAATATAATGCTACACTAGATGATAAGAAAAAAAAATCCAAGCAATTCAGGGAGGGGGTCACAAAAGAATATGAAACTCTAGAACTGAGGATAGTTTAAAAATGATTTAAAACATTTGAAAGCTCATTCCTAGTCTCTTCCCTATGCTGTTTTCTGTATTTCTAAATGCCTGCTCTTACTTTCCAAGCAAGCATCTTTTAATCTTCACTTTGTTTCATTCCTAAACTCCTCTTACCTGATTTCTTTCCAGTCTTCTCCATCTTCCTCATTGCCTTCTACATTATCTTTGTGAAGTACTTACATAGACAAGCCCCTCTGTGTAAAGGCTGACCTAGCTGGCCAATGCCATATTCAAACTTCTAATTAAATATTTACAACTCTTCAATATCTAGCCTAGCCTACTGATATGATTTGGCTCTGTGTGCCCACCCAAATTTCCTCTTGAATAGTAATCACCATGTGTTGAGTGGGGTACTTCATGAGGGATGATTGGACAATGGGGACAGTTTTCCTTGGGCTGTTCTCATGATGGTTAGGGAGTTCTCACAAAAATTGGTTGATTGATAAGTTCTGGCATTTCCCCTGCGCACGCTCTCTCTCTCTCTCTCTCTCTCTCTCTCTCTCTCTCTCTCTCTCTCTCTCTTTCTCTCTCTGTCTCTCTCTCTCCCTCTCCACCAGTAAGACATGCTTTGCTTTCCCTTTGCCTCCTGCTATGATTGTAAGTTTCCTGAGGCTCTCCAGTCATGTGGAACAGTGAGTCAATTAAACCTCTTTTGTTTATAAATTACCCAGTCTCAGGTAATATCTTTATAGCAGTGTGAAAACGGACTAATACACCTGCTGTGTATTAGTCCTCATTCACTCTTATAGCCTGTGTGTCTCCTCGACTCATTTATATAACACCATTTTTCATTCTTCGGACAGAGATATTGCCACTAACACTATTAACCACTGCCAAACTTTAAAGTCTAAATTAAATGCCATTTCTTTAATCACCCTAATTCTACCCTATTGTAGGGAGAATCAATCTCTCTACCTCCTTTAGTTTCCAAACACTAAACATAAACTCCCATATCAGTTCTCTTTATGTATTATGCTCTGCTGCACATGCATTTCTTCTCCTGGACAGTGGAATTCTGGAGATTCAGAATTATTTCATATTTATTTTCATATTTCTTGTCGAGGGACATTGTACATTGGAAATTCAATAAACAGTAGGCAGATGGAATTAAAGGCGTTCAACATTTTCATTGTAGATGTAGAAAAACATATCAAATTGACACATCTATACTTTTTGATGTGTAATTTCTTAGCAATGTCCTTATTTTAGCTATAGAAAAGATTTTCTCATAAGAACTCTGAGAAAGTTTATTAAATAAGAAATATGACACTAGTTAACTGTTGTTCGTTACTCAATCATCCAAAATGTAATCATCCAAAGTGAGAATGTAAATAATTATATGTATATTACATATATATGTTACATATATATGTTTGTTGTGTATGTGTGAATTGATTATGCTTTGATACACTTGAATATTGATATTTAGCAATCTCTTATTCAAATTAAGATAAATAATTTACATTAAGCAGTAATTACATCTACTTGGCCCAAAGATTTGTTTTCTAAAATTTTTCTTTTTCCCCTATGACCAAACTAAAAATAGTTGAGTTTCTTTGGTTTCATGTCTATGTCTGCTTGCTGTGTGGTTCCAGCCTGAGGATCTAACAGAGTGACTTTAGTCCCTGAACCTATAAAACTGCCTGTTGTGTAGCTATTGAGAGGGAAAATCAGTAAATCTTACACCACAGTAGCATCACTAAAGAAATGATACCCAGTGAAACTCCTAGCAGAGAATCAGCTTAATTTTCACCCTCAAATAACCCTGTTTATGTCCCTGTGGTAACTTGCAAGTCCTTCATCCGAGGATTTACACACACACACACTTGTGATATTCTAAAAAAATGGATTACTTCCTGTCTTTGTAGCTTTGATCTGCCTTTCTTCAAGCCTTTAATGCTCCTTGTATGTCGTTAAAACTCCCAATTATTCATGAAGATTTCCCTGATGCTTTTTTTCTCCCTCTGGGAAGAGACAGTAACATGGAAGACAGGGCTTCAAGAGAGTATTAGTAAATACAGAAATAGCATCAGCTATTCTTTCTTTTGTATTTCTTGTAAGAGCAAAGAGACTAGATAGACAACTTAAGAATTAAAGATACGTGGCCACAGATATTTGGCCATATTGGGCGACAGGAAACCAACTACCCAATCTGAAGAGAGGGAAGTATCTCAAGTTAGTGTAGTTGTGATTGCCTTCAAAACGGAGGGCAAGGAACATAGAAAGAACTTTTCTTTCTCCTTCTCTTTGTCTCTCTTCCTCTCTGTCTCGTATCTTTGATATCTCTTCCTCTATAGTTGGGTTAAGATCTAGGAAACGGATATATTTATGGTAAATATTTTTAAAAGACATTTGGTTACATTCCATGAATCAAGTAGTTTATAATATATTAAAATTCCTCCTGTAAAATGGCTAAAATGTATTTAACATCTACTGATTTTACCTCTTACTGGCCTTCCTGAAAAAAGGAAAAATGTTGAGATTTAACCATCAATAGGGAGCTGAAGATTTAGGTAAACAATTACCGCCCCAACACACATACAAAAAGAGAGAGAAGTCAAAGGTAATGAATAAAAGAAAAGAAAAACATTAATTCACAAATTTAAAAGTAAGTCATCTTTGTGATAACTGGTTTTCTTTCATAAACATAAGTATAAACATGAAAATTAAATGAACACCAGGTAAAACCAATTCAGCTAGATGTTCCTTACAAATTATAAGCACTCCATACCAATTTGACATGTTATAGCCCCAAACATAATCAATACATATTTAAACATTTAATGAGAAATGAATTTATGTCAGACAGCCAAATTTATTTGCTTACATTTTCAATCTTTCCAAATTTCCCTGATTTAAATTGCCAAAAGGCCAAAAAAAATCTCAAATTTATTCAAGCTGTTAAAGTAGTACTGCATATACAACATTAAGTTGCTGCTGAAATGTTACTGAGCAGTAAAATACCATGATAAAGTGGCATCTTGCTGTGTCTCTATTACATCTTCAGCACTAAAATTAATTTATGATCAGTCATCAATTCATTTACATGTCGTTTTATGCTAAATCCTTCCTTGCTGATAAATGCTTACCCCCAGATCCATTAAGCTAGAGTAAAGTCTGTGCTTTATAATATGACCCTGCTAATTGTTGCATTACCATTTTTATGAGATTCAAAAACTAGCCATTAACCATTTTTTCAGCCAATATTTAATCTATGAACTCTTCTTATTAAATGTTATTTGTCTACCTGTTAGTAAAATTTGCAGCTACCAACGCCTTAAGACAAATTAATCCAAATATTGACCTTTGTCTAGATGTAGAAAAACATTGGTCAAATCTGCAGAAGTTCTTTTTTGACTCAAACATATTGAATATACAATGATTACACCTGCATTCCTCAGAGAGAAAGAAATGTGCAATCCTCTGTCATTTCAACACTTTGGGAAGGTGAAGTGGGCTTGAGATGAGCCTGGCCAACATGGTGAAACCCCATCTAGCCCCACGCGGTCGCCTAGGCCTGTAGCTACTCAGAAGGCTGAGGCAGGAGACTTGCTTAAACCTGGGAGGTGGAGATTGCAGTGAGCCAAGATTGTGCTACTGCACTCCAGCCTGGGTGACAGAGAGAGACTGTCTCAAAAAGACCAAAAAGACAAAAACAAAAGAGAAAGAAAGAAAGAAGGAAAGAAGGAAAGAAGGAAAGAAAGAAAGAAAGAAAGAAAGAAAGAAAGAGAAAGAGAAAGAAAGAAAGAAAAAGAAAGAAAGAGAAAGAAAAGAAAGGAAAGAAAGAAGAAGAAAGAAAAAGAAAGAAAGAAAGAAAAAGAGGGAAGGAGGGAGGGAAGGAAGGAAGAAAGGAAGGAATCAGTTTTGTAGAAAAACAAAGTTTACAGGTCAAAGTTTTTTAGTGGCAGAGGCTCTAAAAGCTGTGTGGTAGAGTCGGACGGTGAGGCTGCCAGGTTTCATTGTTTTCATACTGATCTGGTGTGGGAGTTCCAGCATAAACCTCCAAAACCATAAAATAGATACCATAGAGCAATTATTTCCCTTCAGCTGTAATATTCATGTGGGGTCCAGTAGTCAAGGAAACTTTTTATTTGTTTCACTTAACAGCACATAAGCTCATCATTCCTTTCTGTGATCACTGAGGCAGTTAGAATCTTTACTACTCGTTGAGGACATTTTCCTGGTGCACTCTCTCCTACTGCCTTGTTTCTTTTTTCCTGGTGGTGTCATTAAATTCAGGAAACAAGTACCCTTGACTTTTACCATGGAAGTTACAGAAAGAAGTATTATAGCCTTCTCCCTCCCTGTTACCCAGTAGTTTGGCATTTAGAAAGAAATAATTCAGGCATATTCCTGAAGACAGAAACAAGCCTTCATGTTTACTTTCTAGCCCAAACAGAGTAGAATGGCAGTAATAAATAAATATTTTATATTTTACTACAATCAAATAGTTGTGCATTATGAGCATAGATTAAAATGAAAATTATTAAAATGAGATTCATTGCAAAAAATGCTAATAGAGTTGAATTTTGTTAGCATGGGTCACTATAAATAAACATAGAAGTGAAAGTTAAAAAAAGTTAATAACTGAATGTCACATATAAAAATTGATATCTTGCTCTTGATTAAATGCATAAGAAAAAGGACTAATGATTCTAGAGAGAAAATTATATGTTGTGCTTATATATATAGGTCTTCATGTGTGTTTATATACATGCACACTCAGATCCACATACTAAGCAACAAACCAGCTTACGATTTTCCTCTTAAATATACCTTCTCCACAGCTTAGAAGAAAGCTGTGTGTTTCCAGAGCAGGGATCATGATAATTTGTCTTTAGAGTAAGACTGGTTGCTTTTGAACATTCTTCTTCCACTTACCAGGTGGCTAACCTGGGAAAAGGATTTAAACCCCTCTGTGACTCAAGTTTTAATCTATTAAATGAAAAATTACTATTAATAGGGTTGTGAGGATCAAATGAATTAATATACATAAAGCTTTATAATAAAACTTTGTAAACTTTTTCTGTAGAATGACAGATACTAAATATTTTAGGCTTTGCTGTCTCTGTCATACATTTTTCTTAGTTTTTGTTTGTTAGTTTCTTGTTTTCCTATAAATAACCCTTTCAAAAATGTGAAAAACTATTCTTAGCTCATGGGGCCACACAAAATACAGGCTACTGCTTAGAAAGATCCCTTGCATCTTTTAAAAGTTATCTATTTGTTAAGAGAAAGATGCTTTGCTCTTACTAAAGGTTATATATATTACCTATTATTATTATTGAATCTAAAATTTTAGCCAAGTGATTGTAAGTAATAGGTATTCAATAGGTGTTTGTTGTAGAAAGAAAGAAATAATACAACAGATCTGCAAATACATGTTATCCAGTACTGAGGTCATTCATGGGATATGGAACTGCTGATATTTTCCTCTTTTTTTTTTCTGTTTTGTTTTTTTAGCCTTTTTCCATTCACAGACCATCATTTCAAAATTTAAGTACTCCCTCCCAAATTAGTTGTTATAAAAACTTTTGTAGTTAACATGCTTATTTCTTTACAAAAATGGGCTCTGTCCCTGGTTAACTGCTGATACTTCCTAATGTGGCAACTGTGAAGGGCAATATATCCAAGTAAAATCCTGCATAATTTTATATACAGGTTTACTAGCCCATCTCAATATTGCAATTGAAATAACATTCTGATTGGCTTCAGAGTTTCAGGGATTGGAACTATGTAATAAAATGGTCATGAGATTCATGAAAGGGTAAATAACTAACACAATTTCAGGAGAAGGTAATAACTGATTTACTCATGCCATACACATGTTCAGAACCCAAAGTAACTGGTGGTATGACCCACATCCTCTGTATGGGCACTTACCATATTAAAAACATAAAAAGCCTATAGAAATAATGCCTATTTGATTGTTTACCTCATTTAGCGCCATTAAACTAGCCTGAAGTGTCTGAGGAAAATATAAGCATGTTAGAACAACATTCATTGGCATGGTGATTTCTCTAATATTCAGTCTCTATGCATATCCACCTCAGGGTTATTCTCACATATCTGTGCATGCATGCATGAACACACACTATATTATACTTACAATCTCATCTACACTCTCACACATTTATACATGCACACACTCCCTACACAAGCACCCATTCCCACATTCTAATACACTCACACACCTTACATACACACACACACACACACACACACACACACACGCACACACTTATAAGCACTCACTCACATACCCTAGAAAGCAAATTAAATCTTTGATCACACCTTCTCCACAAAGTTGTTGTGGAAGAGAAAGAAAAGGAAAAGTGGGTTTGTATTTGGCTACTTTTGTGTACAGAATAACTTCTTTTACTAAAGAGATGTATTATTCATAGGATAAGCTCATCATGGAATACAAACCTAAACACCCTGAGGATTTTTATATATAGCAGTAATTAAGCAGTGAATTCAAGGAGGAAACCAGACTCTGTTTTCTTAGCAATAAAAGCTTCATTTGGAATGAGCATTACACTAGCTACAGGAGAAAGGCAGATTGCTGGAGGTGCAGGCACATCAGGCAGCCTAGCATGTTATAGGTGAGCATGTAGCAGTGCAAAATGGCATTCTCCTGATTTATAGACATATTTATCTCTTTGACATTATAATATTTAATAAAAGAACTACACAGACTATAGCTGACTTTTTTCATCATTAGTGCAATTTGTTACTGCATTCCTAATGGAAAGGAGTTCAGTATCATTAGTGAAATATGCAAAAATATGCAGAATTTTTACCCTGAAGGAGATTATGCTGGAAATTCAGGCACAGTGGCTTCATATAACAGTGCACTAATAAGTCAGCTCTCTGCATTTGAAGATTTTAACTTGTGTTCTATCACCTTCGGTTGAATCTGGGCTTCAAATCACAGCAGTGTATCTGCGGTTATTAAATCTTAATTAGGCTGGCAAGTAGACCAGCCCCTGGGTAAGAAGAAAAACTGAAAAATGGGCTCATGCATCACACATTGTGTAATTCAGGGAGGAATGCAGAGGAAAATCACAGGCGCTGATGCTGCTTTATCACTGTCATAAACCAGTTTCCATCAGCGTTTGCAGAACTCTAACACACTGTGTGACTCTGAGAAAGTCTGGAAGCTGTTGGCATAAAAAAAATGAATTAAGTGGGATTGTGATAAAATACCTCCTAGGATGAAAGATGTCATCACGGTAAATACAGATATGAGCAGTCTTCTGAGAAAACCCAATGAGATGCAGGGACCAGACTTCAGTTTGTAGTAGCTCTGTCTACACAGTGATGTAAGAGGCATTTTTGTGTGTGTGTGTCCAACAATGTGTATCTATTTGAACAGAAATACTGAATCTTTACTTTTCTCCGTATTCGTTGATTCCATATTACATTTAAAGTTTTCTTTAAAAATCCTTGAAAATAGGTTATATCTCCATCCTGGGATCATCAGAGAAGAGTACCAGTGGAAGTCTTTCATTTGGTGAACAAGGCAAGAGGAAGCCAAAGAAATAAACAGAAAAAAATAACTGCATTTCTTGGAAGAGAAGCATTTGCTAGATTCAGCAATGTGAAATGCATAAACATATGGCTTATCTCACTATACAGTTTCTTCACTCTAAAATAATTCCTTGTACAACCTTAAAGTGGCTTATTCAGGAGACTTGTTTACTCTCCATCAGTGAATGATTTTACAGAGTGAAATATCAAGAAGCATTTTAAGATTGCATTCATTTTGTATGTTGTTCCTGATATTAAAAAAAAAGATCACTTCTAAAAGTCAAGGTTTTTAATGTAATAGACTTGGTTTCCTAGTAGAGTGAACTTCTCATGAAAGCCCTAGATATAATTGAGTTTTCTTTCATGTCTTTAAAACCTTTTAAAATTCATGAATTTTCTTATCATTTTTGCAGCAAAGCAAAAGTATTTCAAAACCCTTTTTGATTTTGTATTTAATATTAACATATTCAAAATGTTACAGAAATATATGGAGTGGAATAAATCTTACAATAAGGAAGTCGTTGATTTTTGATGCATTTTAATGTTACCAATAGGTCAGTTATTCCTATTAAATTGGTTCCATTACCTGTCACAGAGCTGTCTAGATTGTCCATACTGGATCCAGGTGTCTGGTCCAGTGCTCTCAGGGGCCTGGGAATTTCTAAAGCTTCCTCTTCATCATCAGCATCATCATCTGGAACATCCGTTTCCAAATCAGAAATCAAGGCTCCAGACACATAACCTAACGGTGGAACCGGAGGCTGTGGAGGTTGATTATTGCTTTGAATGTGCCTAGAATTCAAAGGAAATTTTAAAAAGAAAAGCAATTCATTAATATGCGACAACATTATAATTTGAATTAAATACATGCTATACTAACTCATATTGTCTTTTTCCTTTCCATTAACTAATTTTGGAGCTCACAATGCTTTCAGCAGAGACAATGGCTATGAATACCAGCCTCACCAAAAAAAGTACAACATGGACCATTAAACTCTTCACTTGGTATTTATAGGATAATACATGGAGAAAAAAAAGTACAGACGCAGTATTTCTGTGAAAATAAGTCATCCACAGGAGAACAGGAATATTCATCATGAGTAACTATTTAAAGTTGATATTTTTCTCCAAAAAAACTATACTTTTGTTCCCAGTTTAGCGTCAAAATTCTACTCAGTCTGTGTAACCCATGCTGCCTGTTGGCCCTTATGAAGGAAAGATGTCCCATGAGGACCTAATATGCCCTGCCTCCCAAACCTGAACACATTTCCTTCCCTAGAAGGCTTCCTCCCTGCACTGTCCCTCTCACTTCAAGGCTGGAAGGCCATTTCCACTTTCCAGTTTAGGGTAGGTACAACTAATTTGTGCTTTAGTAGCTATTTGTGCATCTGTCTCACCCACCAAAGTCTTAAACTCCTCAAAGGCATAAACAACTCATCCAAGCATTCTCTGTGTGCTAAATAAACCTTCGGCAATGAATATCAAATTCTAATCTCAACTTTATGAAAAAAATAGATCATGCATTATCAGCCATTTTATATTTATTTATTTATTTATTTAATTTTTCTGAGAGACAGGATCTTGTGCCATTGCCCAGACTGGAGTGCAGTGATGCAATCACAGTTCACTACGGCCCTTACCTCCCTGGGCTCAAGGGATCCTCCTGCCTCAGCCTCCCAAGTGGCTGGCATTACAGATATGCCTCACCATGCCCAGCTGGTGTTGCAGAGTGGGAGTCTCACTATGTTGTCTAGGCTAATCTGAAACTTCTGGGCTTAAGCAAGGGTCCTGCCTCAGCCTCCCAAAGTGCTGGGATCACAGGTATGAGCCATCATGGTTGGCCCAACCTTCTTTAGAATTTATCAAATCGAAAGTGAAATTTAAGTGACTTGTTTCAAACCAGGTAGCTAACTAAAGTGTGAAGCTGAGCAGTAAGGCCCAGTTGATTTTGCTTTGGGTTTACTCAGATTTTCTTCTAAACCATAAAATGCTAAATGAAATCAATATATTGTTACTTGTTACCAGTATTAAAAAGTGAATGTACTACATGTTTTACCATATTAAGTATTTTCTTTGCTTTCATAAAGGACCGTGCTATTTAAGGAAGATATTAAAAAGTACCATGCATTTTTATTGTTGGCTCTTGAATGAAGGACATGAGATTATTTTGCTTTATCATTTGCATTCCCTGGGGAAAATATTTCATTCTTCCCAAATTTGTTTAATATTTCTCTCCCACTGGCTTCTTCAACTTGTAATCAACTCCAATGTTAACAGAATTTTAGATATTTCAATATTTTTTAAAAAAATTCTAATTCTTAAAGCTACCTCAATATCATTAGACCACAGTCTTTAATTTTTAATAGATCAGAAAGTTGAGGCCCCAAGTTAGTATGTGGCATTCATCACAGCCTGCTAGTTCAAAGATCGGAAGAAACAGTAAGTTTCCTAAGTATTACTACAGAAAACCTTGAGGGTAGATGAGCACATCTTGCTATAAGTGTTGCCTCAAATCTGCTTATGAATTGGGAATGGAGACAACTAAGGGATGAGCAAGAGGCTATAGGGCAATATGATTCATTCTGCTATAATGATGTGGACTTTGGTCCTGGGAGGGATGGATCAGACCAACACTCTGGTCCTACATCACGGTTGACACCTCTTAATAGAACAAATATACCTTGAGGGATAAAAAAAAATGTACTCCTCTTTAAGGAACGTTAAGAGATAAATTGAAATACCAGAAGAGGATACATAACATTTATAAATATCTTCTAGTGACGGCACTGTGCTGTGTACCTCATGAACCAATAGAAACAGACTCTGGGAGGTGGAACCTGGGAATCACTGTCTGTTAACAGTCCTCCTAAGACGTCCATGTGCAGCCCAGATAGAGAGTCACTTCCAAACCAGAAGCACATACAGTCTCTTAACTCCCACACGTGGAGTCAGCCAGGGCGTTCTGAAAGATTGCTGGGCTGAGCAGGAACACACTCAGAACAAGAATCAGGGTGTGCTCTATGGGTATTTGGAGCAGGTGGAGATGAACTCATCTGTTCATTTCTTCGGCAAATATTGATCAAGCACTTCCTAAGTGAGACATTCTTCTAAGTGTGGGAAGACAGCAGTGAACAACTCAGGTAGAAACCCAGGCCTTCCTAAATAATAGCAGCTAGCCTAACAGCCGGGTACAGTAGCGTATAAGTTCATACTCATTTCATTCTCACAAAAACGAAAATCTGTAACGAAGAACTGAACATCAACCCAAGAGAGGTTAGGCCTTTTCCCTCTGCACCTGGGAGGAAATCTCTAAGCCCTCAGAATGTCCTGTTTGATAAGTCTCTCTGTTTACCTAGAGGCCACAGGACACTCCAGAAAGCATAGCAATATGATTTATGGTGGGCCTTGGAGTTGCACGATATCACCTCAGCCTCTGGAGGCACTGGAAATTGAGGTCAGCCACGTGGATAGTCAATAATGTCTATGTGACAGAGTCACAATGAAGTTGCAGGACCTCAGGGAAGGTGTGCCCGTCCCTGGTTGGCAATTCTCCATGGTGTTTAATGTCACGCTCTGTTGGGAAAGTAATGCTGTCTATGATTCCACTGAGAGAAGACAACTAGAAGCTCTGCTTTTGGAATTTTCCTGGACTGTGTCCCATGCATTTCTTCTTTTGGCTGATTTTAATGTGTATCATTTCACTGTAATAAACTGTAACTATGAGTGTTAAATCTTTTGGTGTTCTATGACTTACTATAGATAATTCTCAAATTTCAGGGTGCCCTTGGGGACCCTTGAAACTTGCACTTGGTGTCTGAACTACAGGTGGTCTTAGGGATTGCCTTCTAATTTCCTATATTAGCTAATTACACATGAGGAAACTACAGCATGTAAATGTTCAGCAAGTTGCCCGAAATCATGCAGTCAGTAAGACAGATTCATCTCGATGTCAGTGGTCCCAAACCTGGCTGTCCCCAGTCAAATTCCAGATCATGCAGTCAGAATCTTTCTCTGGGAGTGGAGCCCACATATCAATATATTTGAAGGTTATCCAAATTGGATAACCTTAAAATGGGTTCTAAAATGTAGGCAAATTTCAGAACCCTTCAGCTAGAGTCTGTGCTTTAAATGACCAAACTGCATGGCTTCATTAGTTTATGTGAAGGAACTCTTATGGCTCTTGAAGCAGCTGGCTTCAAATTAAATAGGGGTGTTTTATAAAAAGCAGATTGATGCAAAATAATAGTGTTTAACAGTTGTCTTTGACCTTTGAGAAAACATCTGATGATTGTTAGAAAATGTTCAAGAATCTCTGATCTTAAGAAAAGAGGCTGTTTGTAATAATCTTTAAGTAATACTTCTGGATTTGTATCTCTTTCCATGTACAGTTAGCTGTATTTGAAAAATAAATACTTCATTAATGATGAGAATAAGAATTTTATCAATTTATCCCCATAGCTAGAACTATTTTAAAAAACAAAACTAAATACTATTTTAAAAATTTACCCAGATTTCAAGCACAGAATGTAAATCAACAGAAGAAAATTAGAGGTATGACATGGAGACTTAACTTTCAAAAGCCCAGACTTTTATACTACTATTTTAAAGCAGAAACAATGAATAACAAAAAAACCTGTATGAAATTGTGAGTTAGTCCCATTTATATTTCTGCATTAATTCTACAGGATACCTAGATAAATTGCTACCTATAGTTTACAAAAGTTTATAGATGGATTAGAAAATGAAACGTGAAATATTTGATATTCCTGCTTTTTATACATTTACTGATACTAATATTGTTGTTTTTTTTTCTGTTACATTTAATTCAGGTAAAAAGAGTCTTTTTTTTTTTTCCAGACATAGTCTTGCTCTGTCACCCAGGTTGGTGTACAGTGGCTCAATCTCAGCTCACTGCAGCATCCGCCTCCACGGTTAAAGCAATTCTCCTGCCTCAGCCTACTGAATAGCTAGAATTACAGACACCCACCACCACACCCAGCTAATTTTTGTATTTTTAGTAGAGACAGGCTTTCACCATGTTGGTCAGGCTGGTCTCGAACTCCTGACCTCATCATCCACCTGCCTCGGCTTCCCAAAGTGCTGAGATTACAGGCGTGGGCAACCACGCCCGGCCAAGAGAGTCTTTTAATAATTAACACTAACCATATGTGATTTGCAGAAGCTCATATTTACATATTCACAACCACATACAGAATTAATCACATGCATTTTGAAGAATCTAAAATGAGTCTTTTTATTACTTAATTGGAAGTGAGTTCAAGGATAAGCTAATTGAAGATAAACCATAAATTAGAAAGGATTCTGGTGTAGCCAAGAGCACTTTAGCTAAATTTCAGCAGATCTGAATTCTTGCTCTAGTTCCCTCTCTGAAAATGTGACTTTGACCAAATTATTTAACATTTCTGCAATTCGATATATTTATCTAAATGATTAAGGAGTTATACAATCATTTTCAAACCTAGCTGTGTAGTTCTATCAGAATCTCTTATGAATTTATTTGAAAAAAAAAATTCTGTGTGTTGAAAACATGGGTCCCTGGACTTAATGAAGATATTTACCATGTTTGTTTTGCTATATCAAACTGATAGGCTCTTGTCAACTCATCCAGGTGAGCCTGTAGCATGGGTTGCATCTCTTCCCGTGGGGATGGAGTCAGAGTTGCAGTGGACTGCTGTCCAAAGGAGATAGCAGGAGAAGAAGCCACGCCTCGGACAGGAGGTGTTGGGACCCTATCATCATCTTCTTCCAGTTCATCTTCCATACCTTGGTGTAAGTAAGTTTGTACTGGCAGTGGTGGGCACCAGCTATCACTGTCATAGCTGAAATTAAATGAGGAAATTATGCACATTGACAGATATCTACATAAACACACACACACACACACACAATTATACTAGCAATAAGCAGCAACCACATGGTATCTAAAATGTTCTCTCAGTTTATTTCCTCCTGAAGCTGTCGGTGCCACCACAGTAAATCACCTGGCTGTTATCTTAATCTCTAATTGTAATTACATCCTTTATCTCAATATCTCAATTTATTTTTAAAAGACCTTATTAGCTAATTGTTACCCCACAGTTACAAGAGGCAATAACTTCCCAACAAACTTACTCATGTGGAAAAACCAAATTGCTAATTAAAGACAATTAATGAATTTAGTGCTTGTAGATTTAACTACTTCCTTCTCCTGTTCAGACTTGTGCACTAACATTATATGCCAATATAGCTGATTGATTATCTAAGAAGTTATTGGATAATTTTACTTATTCTTATTCTAGATCTCTGACAACCTTTCATTCCATATGTTATTAAGACTATGATATAAAAGCATTCGGTATCTCTCTGATTCTCTTAATTTTCTCAGTAGAAACTAACATCCTCTTTATCTTGTCATCCAAATACAAATCATAAAACCGAAGTTCAAAACCTTGCCCTATAAAATAAAAATAATATTTTTATTGTATTAAACAAATTTTGAGTGTAAAATATAACAATTATTTTAAAACCATATTTTTTTAGGGACTATGGTCTACAAGCATAGAAAATTAATCCAGAAAATTTTAACCATGAGACAAAATCAATAGCGTTTTTATTTCAATTCTCTGTAGACTGAATATTTTCAGAAATCAAATAGATTATAACATCCTTTTAAAAACAGACAAGGAAAATATAAATAGCATTATTGGATAGCATGGTCTTATAAATTCAGCCTCTTAAATCTCTGATGAATCTTTCTCCTACAATTTATCCCCACTACCACAATCAAACATCAGTTTCCTGCTGTAAACTAGCTCATTAGCTTTCCTTCTGTATCATCTTCTGTTCTGCTCTTTCTTACACACGTACAGTAGAATATATCTCTAAAATCTTCATTCCCATCATGCCTAAGCTTAAAATTATTTAGTGATCATAACTAATATTAAAAAAACTTTCCAACTCATTACCTGAGTCTAAAAAAACCCATCCTCATCTGATAAACTCATCTTTCAAGCTTAATTTTGCACTATTTCCTCAACATTCATATACTCTATTTTTTTCTAAAGTCTGTGTCTGTTTATACCTCTTCTCAAATCATTTGCTGCTAAGTGCCTACTCTTCCTTCAACCAGATACACTTCAAACATCATCAGTTTTGTGAAGTCTTCTCTGCCCCACTCCATATGGAACTAATTGCAATTCCTATAATACTTATATTGTGGTACTCCCCATATTATATTGGAATTAGTTGTTTCTGTGTCTCTTTTCTCCCAATATTTTGTGAGATTCTTAAATTCAAGAAAGCTGTAATTCTCAGATACTTCTTGCACCTAGTATAGTATCTGGTACATGAGATATTAGGCAAACTATGATATTAGTAAATATTAAACATGTACATCTCTAGTCTTGATCTCTCTTACAAACAGTAACTCATAAATGTCAAGATGATTCTTGAATATTTTGACTTGGATGCCTTTTTATTTATTCAGTTTAAAAGCTGAATTCGGCCGGGCATGGTGGCTCAAGCCTGTAATCCCAGTACTTTGGGAGGCTGAGGTGGGTGGATTCACGAGGTCAAGAAATCGAGACCGTCCTGGTCAACATGGTGAAACTCTGTCTCTACTAAAAATACAAAACATTAGCTGGGCATGGTGGCTCGTGCCTGTAATCCCAGCTACTCAGGAGGCTGGGGCAGGAGAATTGCCTGAACCCAGGAGGCGGAGGTTGTGGAGAGCCGAGATCGCACCATTGCACTCCAGCCTGGGTAATGAGAGCAAAACTCCATCTCAAAAAAAAAAAAAAAAAAAAAAAAAAGCTGAATTCGGCCGGGCACAGTGGTTCAAGCCTGTAATCCCAGCACTTCTGGAGGCCGAGGCGGGTGGATCACGAGGTCAAGAGATCGAGATCATCCTGGTCAACATGGTGAAACCCTGTCTCTACTAAAAATACAAAAAATTAGCTGGGCATGGTGGCGCGTGCCTATAGTCCCACCTACTCGGGAGGCTGAGGCAGGAGAATTGCTTAAACCCAGGAGGAAGAGGTTGTGGTGAGCCGAGATTGTGCCACTGCACTCCAGCCTGGGTAACAAGAGCGAAACTCCGTCTCAAAAAAAAAAAAAAAAAAAAAAAAAAAAAAAAAAAAAAAAAAGCTGAATTCATCATAAAACTTGAACATGTATATTTATATTGGTTTTATTCATAATTGCCAAAACTTGGAAGCAACGAAGATGTCTCCCAGTAGGTAGATGGATAAACTACAGTACAAACAGGGTATGGAATATTATTGTTACTAAAAAGAAATAAGCTGTCAAGCCATAAAAAGACAAGGGAGAAACTTGAACACATATCACCAAGTAAAAGTTGCCAACCTAAAAAAGGTACCACAATAAGATTCCAACTACATGACACTCTGGAAAAGGCAACACTATGCAGACAGGAAAAAGATGAGTAGTTTCCAGAGGCTAGATGGGAGGAAGCCATCTAGCAAAGGAGGATAGGCAAAGAACAGAGGAATTTTAGGGCAGTGAAACGATTCTGTACGATACAATAATGGTGGATGCATGTATTGCATTTGTCCAAATCCATAGGATGTTCAACACGGTGAGAGCCCTAATGTAAACTATGGACTCTGGGCGATGATGACATGTGAATGTCAGTGCATCAATTGTTACAAATGTTCTACTCTGGTGGAGAATGTTGATGGTTGGGGAGGCTGTCCATATGTGGGGGCTGGAATAAACCTGCACTTTCTGCCCAATTTTTCTGTGAGCCTAAAACAGATGCAAAAAATAAACTTTATGAAAAAAAAAACCTCTAAATTTTTTTTTTGGACAAGTATGTGTCAGGGCCCTGAATGTTTCACAGAGCATGAATTTCGGTGGGGAAAGCTGATATTAAACAAATGATCAGCAATGTAGGATGCTATAGAAGTAGAAAGCAGGAGGTGTAAACTAGTTTCGGAGTTGGGCAGGGCTACGTTGACCACCAGCAAAAGGAATATTTTAAACAACATGTGTGGAAGCCCAGAGGAAAAGAAAGGAATCTGAAGCTTTCCAATAGTTCCCTAAATGCCAAGAGCTGACAAAGAGGAAGAAAGCTGGCCATGAAAGAGGCAGGAGAACTGGAGATAGGCTGCTCAAAGAAGGCCTTATCAGCCCCCAGAAGGAGTTTGAAATTTTCTTGTGGGCCATAGATACTTACAGAAAGGGTTTTTTGTTTTTGTTTTTAGGGAATAATATCATCTTTTGCATTCAGTCTCCTTAGTCCCTAAATTCTTTTTCCTAAATCCCAAAGATTTTTCCTTCAAAGCAAGTTATAATTCTGACACCTTTATTTTCATTTCTATGGCCATTTTCTTCTCTTGCTGAGGCTACCTAAATGAGGTGTAAGACCCTGTTTCAGAAGCCCTGTATGATTTGAATGAAATATTTCCTCCTAAGTGCCTTTTATATTAGACATTATAAACAACAGACAGACGCCAGTGTGTTACCAATTTTTGTACTAGAAAATACCTTCGTTTAGGCTGCATTCCATTTAATTGACTAAGTAATGAGTACTAATCTGAATCGAAAAAAACATTGCTCTAAATTGACGTCATTCTTATCTGTTCTATATGCTAGAGATCACAGTTAAATTACACTTGGAAAAAAGTCCTATTGCTTGAAAATTTTTTATTCACTCTCCTGGTGGGACTTGCTGCTTTTAGTTTTTCACATCCTTTCATCAATCCTACCCACCACTTACAAATTCATCTACGAAAACATTAGAATGGTCTGAATAAAAATATTTACTTCTCTTTTCTCCATTCATTAAATATATCTAAGCCTCAATCTAACTTTTCAGACAGTTTTTACAAGAAGAATCTCCTGGTCAAAATAAATTAGTCTGTTTTCATCTTTCTGTATGCTTTTTTTTTTTTTTTTCCATCCTGGTACATTTGTTTATAGGAATACACTTATATCCTATAAGCTGTAGTCTTCCAATTTTACCTATCTTAATCTTATGAATCCTTCAAGCCACAGGCTAAATCCCATATCTTATAGAAAGATTTCCTTGATGAGGCCAACCAGCTCTTATACATTACTCTTCTGAACTTGCACTGACAATATATTTGCACGTTTCTTTGAAAATTGATTATACACAGTCTTATGTCATTTCCAACACTGGTTCCTGTCACTCTTGACCAATTTATTTTAGTATTTAACTTTTCACATGTTTAGAATGCCTTTTCCTCAAGTGCATTACAGTTATGACATTGAACCATTCTTGTTTTATTATACTTAATATAATATCTTAAAAAGAGTAGGTCATAAGCATATGTATTGATTTGAATTAAAAACACGCAAATCATTTCATTAATTAGAATGCTTCATTTTTTTCATAATTTATTTAACTTAAGACACATTAAGTAAAACAGAAACACGTAAGAGTAGGCTAATCAAAAGAGAACTATCCATTTTCAGTATGAAATCTGCTTGCTGTTCTGCTTCATAAATAGATATAATTAAATTTAGTTTGTAAATCTTATTACAAAAAAGTCCTTTTCTTTCTTTTTTTTTTTTTTTTTTTTTTTTTTGGCCAAAAAGCAATAGGTGCACTTTCCTTACTTACATTGGTTTATTGCCAAGGATATCATACGTTGGAAAAAAGAAAGAAAATGTTTACATATTCAGTCTTTCAAGTGAAAATGGTCTATTCTTTCCTAAGATATTTCTGACACTCCAGAGGTAGTTATATATCCTTACTTCTGAAAATCTAATAGTGATATACACATGAAATGAAAAGTCATAGAGAATATATTAGAAGAAATATGTGTTATATGCATCATGTGTTAAGGAAACATAGGAGAAGTTATAATTTGTTGTAATCAATTCATTTTTACTAATTAAATAATATCAGGGAAAGGAGAGCCTAACCATACAAATATTATTTTTGACATTGTTCAAATACATTGCTTAATGTATTAAATAACTAAAACATATTTCATTAACTATTCCTGTTAACGAGAATGGGATGTTATCACCAATTTTTCCATGTCCTTATTTTTATAAAGATAACCTAGAACAGGAAGGAGCAAATTCTTTGCCCCTTTGGGATAGCAAAGCTGAAAAACGTCCACAGATTCACCTACTTACTGTGTGCCAAAAGAGGAAAAATGGGAAAAGAGAAAAAAGAAAAGGCTAGAAGGACCTGAAAGAATAAATGAAGAAAAGTTGGGGCACGGTGTGTATCATATGAAGTAGAAGAATGGTCTGCTATCTCCATGGCATTCATGTCTTAATCCATTCCAAGCAACAAATACTTAGGTTTCATAGTTACCGAAGAAAGGCAAGAAGACTCTATAAATTTTATGAAGTGTAGCTCTGTTTTTACAGTTTCCTTCACATTTTACAGATATACATCTTATCTGAGTGATAGAATTTCAATTTTTTCTTGTAGTAACATTAAAAGGACTGTGAAAATGCTGCTAATGCCAAACCAAAGATCTTTCAGTCAACCTTTCACGGAGAAGCTTTTGTTCTTTGGCTTATTGTCAGTGAACTATGAGGCATCATATTATCTGCCTTTCCTGGTGAATAATGATAAAGATGACAACAAATCGATGCTGCATGTAAATGAACTTGTAAAAGGCCAGATACAAATACCAAATTACTAATAAAGATACAATAAAGTTCACCACTGGCTGAAACTTGCCAATCTCTAATTGCAGTAACAAAGAAAACCTCCACTTTTCCATTTAATTACCATAGAATTCTTCCTAGAATCATGTGACTATGATGAAATGCATTGTATTTATAGCTAGGGATTAATACATTTTGACAAGTTTTGTCAAGCTGAGAGAGGCATATTGATGGGAGAAAATATTGCTATAGTACTGAATTAACAATTAAATACTTTTTGTTGGGCAATTGATAACTTGATATTCTGATATTTTTATTTTATTTCGACATTTATTTTGATATGTGGGGAAAGGAAGGCTTAGAATGAAAAATGATGATATCTAGGCTCTCAGAAACAGTACTAAATATTGTAACAAAAAACTAGACATTAGTTTCAAGATGATGGTTACCATTAACTAGGTATATCTCCTAAATATGTACCTTTCCTGCAACCCAATGATATTGCTTTGTTTTATTCCCGTACCATTTACATGATACTGGCCATTCTACTGCAATATTCCATGCTTTATCTGCCTGCTGAGCCTCACATCCTCCAATTCATCATCTGTACTCAAAGATCAGAATTCCAGTATGACATAGAAGGCTTCACAATTGCCTTCAAAACATCTTCTTAATCTCCTACCCTATGCAGTTTTCAAACTCAACAAGCCTCCAACATCAGCAAGAAATTGATAAAGGGCACAGAGAAGCAATTAAGTGCAGTATGAAGAGTACTACAACAGAGGAGCAAGCTTTAGGAATAACAAAAACAGAGGCAAATAACTGTAACTAAATAGGGCTGGGTTTCAAAAGAATGACTAATGGGGCTATTTGCTATTTCTCACTTTCTTGTTTTTTATTGTATTATATTTCTTTTCTTTCTTTTTTTTTTTTTGTCTTTGGCCAGTAAATTTCTCTCCATTTGCACAGAAAATCACAACAATAGTAACATTTTGTTACAGTTGTTGACTATTCTATGTCTAGACCACTTTTGGACAGAGACTTTTCCTTGTTATTCTTTGTCCTTATTTTTGGCTCAGTGCCTGGAATCCAACAGCCACCAAATGTGGTTCCATTATTTGTGAATAAATGATTCTAGATTCACCTTAAAAATTAACTTCTACAAGCTCTCCCCTGGCATCCCTGGTATAAATGATTGCCCCTGTCTGTTGGGAAATTATTAGTTCTTCCTCATTGTTGAGTTAGGGCATCATACAAAATTGTGTGTGTGTGTGTGTGTGTGTGTGTGTGTGTGTGCACGTGCATGTATGCATATGTGTGTGTGTCAGGATCAGGATAGTGTTTATTAGTGTCTGATCTCTAGTAAGTATCAAGAGCAAAAATGTTTCTAAATTTTTTATATTTTTTATATCAAGAAAAGCTTAAACCTGAATTATGAATGTTCCAAATTATAGAAAAACTATTTAGAAGATGTCTTCTAAAGATTTCCTCTGTGAATTATTTAATATTAATATTATGAATAGTAGAATACTCTACTGTGTTCAATAATCTTTCCTTTTTCAGTATCATATGGTTTATCGATTAGAAAACATAAAAGTATAAAGAATACATCAAGAAATGGACAAAACCATGCCCAATCTATTAATGTTTATTTGTCCTTATTATATTAACTTTAAATATGTGTTTTTATTATAAACAATTAAAATAATAATTTTCAAGTGTTTAAAAACTGAGCTCAAAACATAAGGAAATTGAATTTTATTGTCAGCATTACTGACTGGCTAAGATCTAACCACTATTTTTAGTAAGAATGATGACATTTTAAAGCAAATACTATGTATTTAAGACAAGAACTTGAAGATAAGTAACTCAAAATACATATATATATATATATAAAGTAGTTTCCAAACATGTAAAAACAATTTTGTGTTTTATATCTTAATTATACTGAAAATAATTTGTGTCAAATAATAAAAATTTGCACGTTCTATTATTTCATGAATATTTCCAATTCCACTGGAAGGTAATGAAATAAAGTGAGAAATTTAGCACTGATTTTGATTTAAGTAGTTTTATTGCAGGAGGTTACAGGAATTATTATAGTCTGTGTGTTTGTTTGTTTTTCTTTTTTTTTGAGACGGAGTTTCCCTCTTGTTGCCCAGGCTGGAGTGCAATGGCACAATCTCGGCTCACTGCAACCTCCACCTCCTGGATTCAGGCAATTCTCCTGCCTCAGCCTCCTGAGTAGCTGGGATTACAGGCACATGTCACTATGCCCAGCTAATGTTTTGTATTTTTAGTAGAGATGGGGTGTCACCATGTTGACCAGGATGGTCTCGATCTCTTGACCTCGTGATCCACCCGCCTCGGCCTCCCAAAGTGCTGGGATTACAGGTGTGCGCCACCGTGCCCGGCCCTATAGTCTGTGTGTTTTTTTGTAGATTCAATGGTGAAAAAAATTCCAAATTATCCACATTTTCATGTGATCTGAGTTCAAGACTTTATGTATTTAAAGCTTTAACAGCGCTACTTTCTCTTCCTATTTTACGAGTCCCCATTTCTGTTTTCTCTGACTATAGCTTTTAAAATGGAGATTTCTAAGCTCCTTAATAATCTTGTGAAATACACATCTTTTGTTTTTCTTTGCTCATGATTCATGTGGCACTGACATTTTTATAATATTAATATAAATTAAGATTATACAGGATATGCTTTTAGTTTCCCATTTCAAATGTGAACTTAAAAAGGTAAAATAGTTACATATGCATATATAATAAGTACTACAATCTCAGAGAGACAAATGAAGGCTTTTGGAGGGAGAGGAAGACACAGACAAAAACTATTTATATATGTGTGTGTACATATATATAATGCATATACAAACTACATATGAGTGTATATATATATATATGTATATATATATATAATATCTCAAAAAAGACAAATGATATCATTAAAGGAAGCTAATCTTGTGACATCAAAAATTCCCATTAGAAAATTAATCTGAAGATCTTGAAGACAACAGTTATGTACAAAGAAAAGAAAATGACAAAAAAATTTTGAAGCATGAGTATGTGATTTTTTTTAACCCAGGCAATAAATAAACCATTATAGAAATAAATGGATGTGTTGTAATATCCAAATATTTTTAAGTAAAAAAAAAAAATTGTGAAAAGAAAAACTGCTTTTATTGTATATTTTTAGCTTACCTAAAGACCCAGTCAAAATAACAGTGACCTGGGAATTATAAGGAAGACAAAGCCTTTAGAATTATTAAACTAGAAAGGAATCTATGAACATTTTTTGACCAGGGTTTTTTTTTTTTTTTGGAATTAGAGGATAAAAAGTATCAGTGTCTTTGTGTTTAAAATCATTTAAGGCTTAAACTAACAGAGGAAGACTAACTCTTGTGAGACACTTGGGAAAGAATAAGGAAACTGGTCACATTTAAAGGCCCTCAAAGGAAATTTTATAGCTTAAAAAGGTTTCCTTACAGAGTGTGCATTGGCTCTATTATTATTCTGGCCCCTAAATTCCCATCAGAGCTGATGATTAAAGTTCTACCCACTGGCCAGGTCCCTACAATTATCCCATTGTGATGGTGCTCTACAGTGGCGCCCTGCTATGGCCAGACATCAAGTCATTAGAGAACTGCAAGGGATGATGAAGAAGGTTATTTTAATTCCCTTTTCAGCCCTTCTCAGGAGTGGCTCTTTAGTTCACAGAGCTGTGGGTACTTGCTTTCAAACTAACAAGCAATATTATAAATGGAGGCTGCATTATCATGATTGCAGACAACCTAAGGCACTTGAAGGCCAAGGATTCTCAGTCTTCAATATGTGCTGTTTTGTATTTATCAGCTAAAAATATATAGACAGTGCAAACAATGAAAGAGGGGAAAATGCAATGAACATGGTGGTAGGGGGCAAAGGAAACAATAAGAGAACACAAGATGATGGCAAAAATGAACAGCAGAGAGGAGAGGAGAGCCCTGGCCATTTTGTTAGGAAAAAAAATATTTTTACCCATTTTCTTGCTGTTCCACTGCATAGTGTTCCAGCTCTGTACCAGGAAGAGGCTGGACTGGGGGAGGAGGTAGAGGGACATTGGCCCAAGTGGATCCGTTGTTTTTCTGTGGTTTAGAAGAGTTTTTATTTTTCTTCTTTTTTCCACCTTTCCCACCTGAAAGTAATGATGTGTTTATTCAGAGATGCCAAATATCAGAATAAATAGAATATATCAGATGGCAAGATGTATTTATGTTTCAAAACACCAGAATCAGTCTGTTGGAGTTGTTAAAAGCTATAAACAATGAAATGATATAATAAGGAAAATATTTTAATAAATCACTCAAAATGATATTGCTTTTTTTTCCCCAGTGCATTAACAGCAGAGCTGAATAAACCAAAAACATGGCTGCTGTATCAAAAGCATGCTTATTGATTTATTCATGTCTGCTGCCTGCATGTTTCCATTGTTAGAGGAAATAATGGGCCATAACAAATTCTTTTAAATGTCAAATTTTAGTGCACTTATAATACTCTTTTGCATAATTTCTCTCAGTGGAAAATGCAGGGTCTAAGGATACAGGCTAAACTTTTCCATTAGAACTTATTCAATTTAATTAATCCAGGAGAGTAACAATTTTTATCTTAAAAGTAACTGATAAAAATCAATCGGCTACAATCGGGAAAATAACTGTAAATATTTCACCATGATACATTTTATAGACCTTTAAACTAATGAATGGCATGATTATTTTAGCATATAAATGTTAATAGTTCTTAGCTATTTTAAGCATAACATTTCATAACATTCCAAAAAGGAGGAAAAATTAATACAGTAATCAGTTTCAGGAGCATTGTAATACACATGAAATCATGCACAAAATAAGAGCAGAAAGTAAGCCGGCAGCATATGAGCCATATCTAGGATTACACAGCGCTTAATAAAATATACTAACTATAATTTAACAGTTGGACAGTGCCATAGTTTTTACTCTTCCAAAATTAAGCAAATAAAGCTTCTGTCTTAAAACTGGACCACAGTTAGATGAAGAATGAGTACTTCTTGGAGCAGAATAACAAAGTGCATTTCAGGGGACCCTATGTAACTTCCATGACTCCCACCACAGCCTACAGCAATATATCTGCTGAAAATCTAACTGATCCTTGGGACTTCATCTTTCTGGTACCACAAGTTGTGAGAAAAAAATTATTTGTAGCAGGGCTATCTAGCAACATATCATAGTATCACTAGAAGTCTACTCTTCTCCTTTCTTCTACCAATTACTCAGCTGCATCAGCCAAATCAGAATATTATGTAATTTAATAGCAACATATTTGAGCACCAGGAAGTGATAAAACTGCTAAACTAGAGATATACTTTATTGCCAGTTATAAAATTGTATGTATTTTCCACATAGCATGCATACCTACACACATTTAAAAGAATATTCCTGCACACAAATTGTTTCACCATGCCTTTTATTATACTTGTTTGGTAGTCTGCTTAGAGGATAAGAGTTTGGTTTTGGATTTACAGACCAGTTTCCCACTTACTAGATAAGTTACTCAATAGTTACTGCCTACATTTTTACACATGTAAAACAGATATAAAGTTACTACTTCTTTGAACTGTTTTGAGAATTACAAGAGACAATGCATATTAAGTACTCAGAATGTACCGAACATTCAATACATATCACACATTGTATTCTTCCTTTCCCATATACTCTATTTTAGAGCAAACAGAGCTCCTCTTGATTTCTAAAGCTTTCTCTACTCCCAACTTCTCCAGGCCCAGTGAGTATCCCACAAGTAGCCTGACTCTCAGAATAAGAATAAACTTGCTTTACTATAAATCTGTAACGGTTTTCTTTAAGGTAGATGAACCTTAATCCTTTTGCTTCCTGATGAGTCGGCAAAATTATAAAACAGGGATCATCTTTTCTGCTGTAATATCAGAACTCCATTTCAGTGATTGAAAGGAGGATAGTTTAAGCTACTTGTCTTTTGTAGCTTTCTCTCTAGTTACACCTCCTTTATTCCTTATTTATTTATATATAAAAAGTGCTTTTCATTTTCCATAGTACCTTTAGAAATTTGAGGTGATCACCACCAGAACTGAGTGACAGAAATAGACAAGTTCTTGCATCTCCATTTATAGATAAAGTAACTGAGGTTCATTCCAAGTGTTATGTGGTCTATAGTCACTCAGTAAGAGAAAAATCAGAATTCGGAGTGCAGCAGCTTTTTACTGGAAATTACTACTTCTAGAGCCCTGAATTCTGTTGAACTCATTTTTCAAAGTTCAAGAAAGCCATTTATCACCTACTTTTCCAAACAGATTTTAAAATGTATTTTGGAAACAGAGGTGATTCGCAAAAGAAATTTGTGAGGGCTTTCTATCCATCATCCACTTTCACTTCTTTGAGGAATATTTCTGCACTCTCATTGTGGGCAGTATGGGTAGGATTACTAAGCAACACACCTTACCTCTTTTAGCAGTGAGCTAAGTGGTAGGCTCATAGCATGGTGGAGAGCATATGACAGAACCAAAGCCACTTAACATTCTCTGACATCTGAATCTTGAGTGAAGTGAGCCACAGTCTACTGCTGTTATTTGTAAACAAAGAACCCTTACTAATTTTAGGGTGAGAATTGCCTATATTATCTTTTAAGAGAGAATATTTTAATGAATTACAAATATATTTAATTTAGGTGTATATAATGTGTGTGGGTGTGTGCGTGTGTATGTGTGTGTGTGTATATATATATATATATATATATATATATATTTTTTTTTTTTTTTTTTTTTTTTTTTCTTTAGACAGGGTCTTACTCTGTCACCCAGGCTGGAGTGCAGTGGTGTGATCACATCCACTGCAACCTCAGCCTCCCAGGCTCAAGCATCCATCTACCCCAGCCTTTCGAGTAGCTGGGAATACAGTCGAGCACCAGCATAATTGACTAATTTTTGCATTTCTTTTAGAAATGGTGTTTTGCCATGTTGCTCATGCTGGTGATTTTATATTTTCAATGATGAGATTTTTAATGGAAGTGCTCAGAACTTGTGTATTGAATAACTTATAAGTGTTTCAAAGAGGGTGATACACTCAAAGAATTCAGAAATGTCCACTTTTATCACTGTGATTATTTTAAATTGCTTACATTGCTATGCACAAATTAAGAAAATCTTATAATACCATATGATTAGCTATCCACAAGGTGGTTTGATCTTAAACTTAAGCCTTAGGAAACATACCTATGATTATAAGCATAAAACAAAACTCTAATATTAAACTCAATTGAACTAAACTAAAAAGAGAATAATCACTTCACTCTCACCTACTAAAGAATGCTTTCTATCATCACTTTAAGTAATTTTGCATTCAAATGTAGATGAAGTAGTTAATATAATTCATAGATATATATAAATGTCACTCAGGAGATTAATGGATTCAAAAAAGCACTAAGCACTATTATGAATCGTGTTCTGCTTACAATTACTCAAAAGGTAACTTTTAAAACTTGGTGGTGGCAATCAACACATATAGAATACTTAAAGATTTTTAAAGTCTTAGTAATCTTAAAGATTTTTAAAAGTCTTAGGCTTATAGTATACAGATTGATTTTTACATACTGCATGTGACTTTATATATCTTTAATAAAATAAAAAGGAAGCCCAGGATAAATTACTTTTTAATTATTCAGAACAATCGTGAGACTTACTATAAATAAATGGCAGTCTAAATGACATACAAGGTCATTCAAAAAATTCTCCTATATTATTAAACCCGTTTAAATTCATAACAGATGTTTAAAATTTTCTGGATTCTATAATGTATCTAATTCTACCAGTAGGCAAGAAAAGCAAATGAGTCATTTTGAAGGGAAGAGGGAGCATTAACATTTTCAGACTGAAAGGGTTCCATCTCCTGAGGAAAAGTAATTTAGAAAATGTTACCCTAATGATGTAAAAAGTTTAACTCTTTATGGCCTTGATGCCTGGTAGCCTGTGACATGCCATAATACACTATAATCTTTTACAAATAACCTGTAATTAAACAAATAAAACAAAATCTCAGTACAAACAAACAGCATGTAGTTAATCCAAACAAATTAAGCAAGTGGGGTCATGGAATAAATTAGAAATGCACAAAGTCATCAGCCGTACAATGTAAATGTTATGGTTGAAAGTTAAAGTGTGTCTACTACAACCACCTCATTTTATAGGTAAGGATCTTTGGGCCAGGAAGATTTCACTTATAAGTCATTACAGTAGGTTTATACTTCTGTCCAGTAAAAGGTATTTCTTTCCATTTGTGCTACGTAATACCTACATTATATATTGTTAGTTTGGCTGCTATGTCTCAAATACATATTAAAATTTATACCATAAAAGAATTATCCATATCAAAGATTGTATGATTTCTTTGGAAATTAAATATTAATACTAATTTTCCATATTAAATTTCCTGTACAGTACATTAGAATATCTATCATTCAACAGATAAAAAATCCTATTACATAATATTTTGAAATCTTGTCCAAAAATAGGAAGTCACATCAATGATATACTAACATTATGAAGCACTCCATAATCATTTTCACTGTAGTTGAATTCATCTTTTAGTATCCATGACATGGAATTGACTTTCATGTATAATTTTTTCATCATAAAATTGTCTTTACTCTGTGCTTTAACAAATAGAATTTAGTAGAATGGTATAATTTTTCTTTAAATATATCCTTGTATAGTTAGTATATAAAAGGGGACAGTGATTTTTCTCTTCCCTTTCTCCCATTAAGGCAGAATTTCATCAGCATAAACTCTTATTGCCATTTGATAGATACAGGCCTGACAGGGAGCTGCGATTCAGTATATCTTCATGGTTGTTAGGAACACAGGTCATATGCTGGTGACAGACAAATATTTCTCCTTACTGTGATGAGACCAACCTGAGAGACTGCCACTCCTTTCTGAGCTGTTGTGAGAGCTGGTGGTGCTGAAATCCTGAGACTGGTTGTGTGGCATTCTATTAGACAATCCCTCAGCCAATCGGTAGTCAGGAATGTAAAGTAAGGCTAAGGGTTAAAGGGCAGAGGTCATAGTGGCATCATGTGATTAGTTCACAGCACAAGCCCATGCAGAACATGCAGTTAGCAACTCAAAAGCAGATGTTGTGGGAGAGTGGAGGAATGTTTTGTCTAGCCTGTCCTAATGGAGGTAGGGATGGATTGCTGATCATTATGTTGAAAAGGAGCTAAAAGATGAAACCGATTGGCGCTGGTGTGTGGTGGTGGTGGTAGCGGTGGTGGTGGTGGTGACGGTGGTGGTGGCAGTGGTGGTGGTAAGAATTATTCAAGTTACTGGAAACATGCCAGTATCTTTTTTAGTTAAGATAGAAAACCTGGTAATGAATCACTGAAACAACAACAAATACTAATTTCTATCTCATGCACAAATGATATGAAAATAACTCCTCAGGACTCAAGAACCTGACTCACCATTGTTACCTTTGTTCTGATCAGGTAGAGAATAACCAAATCCCATCAGATCTGTTTTTTGCTGAATTGAGCTTTTCCATTGTTGATCAGGCAGATCGACAGCCAATTCATGTATGCTGTTGGAATGCAAGATCTGTGTGGTGGCATATGGGGTAGCCTGTGTTATTTGGCTGGAACTGTTGTAAGTGGTTTTGGTAGTAAAGTCAATGCTGCTATAAATGGCTCCATCTGAGAGCATCGTTGCTGTTTTATCCCCTTGGCCCGGAACTGGTGGCAGCACATCTGTGGTGAACATAGGGAAATGAAACAATTTAATGAGGCACCGGAAGCCCAAAACTATCAGGGTTGACGATGAAAAATAAGTGTGTCACACTGCACGTTTGCATTTCAGCTGAGATGGGCTTCATGAGCCACTGAAGGGTAGATGATGTACAACCATCGCCAAGCTACCAGCCTCAGTGACAGGCAGGCCTACCGCTCGCCCTTCACGTCTCACTGCTTAAAACACCCCTCCCCCGATTTCCTTCAACCATGAATGAGAAGTTTGAGATATTTCACTACTGGAAAATGCTTTTCGTTGCTCACACTGTTTCAGAACCAATAAAAGTGTTAGCACTTTACAGTAGCAATGATAGTGAACCCACAAATCACAGATGTAAAACATCTCTTTCCACTTTATCCTAAGAGATATAGACTATAACTGCTGAATATAATATGCAAACATTTCCAAAATTATACTATCTTGACTGTGAAGTACATTTTTTGAAGTTTTAGCTTGCCACTTACTGATGTGATTTCATTGCTCCAGAAATGGAGAATACATTCTTTTTTCTTGGATAACAAAGGAAAATTTTCATGAATAAGTCATTTTCACAACATAGCAGGATTTCACTATGGAAAAAGCAATCTCAGTGATTGGTGACTTTTTAATTTATGCTATCAACTCCAAACTACAGAATTACAGTTTCATGTTGTAATACAGCAAGAGTAAAATTAAACTTCAGGAACCATGCTGAATATCAATCAGTCCATTTTTCATTTTGGTATGCTGAATTATTTTTACATGATGCTTTATAATTCAGAACTGCCACCTCTCCCCTGAGCTCTTATTTTCCATTTTTGGAAGAAAGATACTAAGTGAATCTAAAATAGAAATCACTAAATGACACGAGTTTTAATCATGTAGAGTTAAAATGAATCTAATTATTATACAGTACATTTTATAATAATCTATATTCTGAAAGCTTCACTTCATGGGACTTGAGGTCATCAAATCACTTCATTTCTTCATTATAGGACATTTTCAATTATCTTAAAACTTTTAGATTAGCTGATACCCAATAGTACCTGAAATAAAAATTCTTATAGAAATATTACTTTTACTTTTGAATTTTACATATGCTAAAATTGCCTTCTTTAGCAACTGTAGAAAGAAAGGTATAATGTGTTTTGTACACTGTATAACTTAAGTCTTTCTGAAGTTTTTGAATTGGAATTATTTTACATTTAAGTGGATATGTACTTAAGATAGTGAAGTAAGTATCTTAAATGTATATCAGTGAAATTGTTAAACATATTTAAATTCATAATTCAGGTTGTATTAGCAAATGACATTATTTTTGAATTTCACAACTTTGGAACTACTTTCTTGCCCTTCTTTCTTTGAGCTATGTACTAATCGCAAAATTGGATGTTAACGTGCAGCATTCTCAAGTGTTAACATTATTTTTATTTCTCAAAAAATTTTAATGTGTAGTATATCCAAACTGGTGAAAATAGATCCTTGACTCTGGGTGAGTTTTCAGACTTTTGCTTCTGCCACTTCCACCATGTCTTTCACTGACATTAGCTGAATATCAATGGTTCTCTAACTTGGCTCCAATTTCACACACTTTGAATTTGAAGTTCTCCAAAGCTTTATATGTGAAGAGCAAGCCACTTCAATGGCAAGCTTTTCAAATGGCTGTGTGCTCAAATGATAAAAAAATGAAATAAAATGGTCCAAGCATCGAATCCTACATAATATTGCTATACAACTAATGCTATGGGTCTGGATTTCGAATCTCTCCTCTCCCTGCTAGATGAAATTACAGTTAGCCTTTAAGTCTAAGTGCTTCTGTACTGATTTTTAGGCGCATATTGTCTTGATCATCCCTACATTTTCAAAAAATAGACTGAATTATATTATAACATTGAAATATTGGAATATAGCACATGAATATTTGGATGTTAAGGAGAGTCCTGTAATATCAGATGATTTGAAACTCTGGGCCGGCCTTCCTCCCCAAAGGCTAGACCTAAATAGGTGATATCATCTTTAGGCAGGGCTTTTTTTCCATTTTCATTTATCACAGTCCTCACCTAGCCATCCTTAATGTTTTAGGCTGTCTGACTGGTGTTTGTTAACACTTGTGCTTGAAACCTATGAGTTACAGAAACACTTCCTCTACTTGGAATTGGTAATTGATTCTGTAGTTTTTCAGGCCTTTGGTTATACTTATATTCACATTTATTTCCTTTCGTTTTATATAATTATCTATATGAATGACTGTCTCCTTCACTGTATCATAAAGTCACTTGAAGACAGGAGCATATGGGCTAGGTCTGCATTTTCATAATTGCTCATCCAGTGTTTTGAAGAGAGTAAGCACTTGCTGACTTGAATGGTTAAATAATATTTTTATGGTTTGCTTTGATAAAATGTAGATTTGTGCTATAATTAGTAAGTGTGTTATTACAAATACTATTTTATTACATTCAAACATGTATTTTCATTTCATTCTTAAAGGGAAAGTGTCAGTATCTATCCTTATTTTTCCGAGTGAATATGGTTATGTACTCATACATGTGAATTTACCTTTATAATACAAAGCAGAGTTTTCTACAACCAGATCTCAAATTATTTATCTTGAGAAACCTTAGTTTCTTGATCCTTAAAATAGAAATATGATTATCTATTTCATACATTACTATGGAGGCAAAATGAATTAAAATACACAAAATATCCTAAAAGTATTTCTGGCACATAGCAAATGTTTAAAATGACTATTACATGGATAGGACATACAGTCAACCCTACGAAAACTTTCTATTGGCCTTGCTGTTCATCTGTGAAATATTTCACATCATGAAAATGAAGTGAAAATGGAAGAAAAACCTTGCAAATCTCCAAGTATACCCTTTGGTTAAATTTGACTGAGACATTTTAGATGTTAATGTAGCCTGTGGAAACTGAAAAAAATAATCATTTTCTCCATCTGTAAGCATTTACTTCTTCTTGATATAACACTAGAATGTGGTATCATTTCTATAAAATACAAAAGGTAAAAGAGGCAGCTATTCCTTGATTGATAAAAATCTTTGGGAATAGAATTCTTTTTGACAGAATCAATCTACATAGCAAGGGGAGGGAGACTCTTGTTTCCTGATGAGGAGGTGCTCAGGTACAGAAACTACCCACGGCAAAGTGATAGATAGCCTACAGTTACTCACAGTCGGTTCACTTAGGGGAGCAAGCCACTATCAGAGTCTCTGAGCAATTAAGAGTACTAAGTAGGTGTGTTGGCTTACAGAAGCAGAAGAGGAAGCTGAGAAGTCATGTAACTTACTTTTCATTCTCTCACTCTACTGATGTCCAGTAGTCATTGATGGTATGTCAAACTTTATGCTAAACATATATATGTTTAGCACAAAGTAATCATATATGTGTGTGTGTGCTAAACCTATATATAAACACACACACACACACACACACACACACACATATATATATATATATATATATCTAGGATTACTGTATATGTTATATATATATATATAAAACTAAACTATATATATATATATATATATATATATATATATATATATAGTATAGGTTTACTATATATATAGAGAGAGTTATCTATTTAATCCTCATTACACACCTATGAGGTAGGAATGGTTATTTTCCATATTTTATTTGCAGAAAGAAAGGGAGTTCCTCTTCTTATAGTTGGTATTGACAGAATACAGACTTATGCAATAATTACTAGCTTCATTATTTGAAATAGAATTTTAAATATAGTCCATTCTTAAAGAGAAAGTATGAAGAATATTATTCTCAGTCAACCTGGTTATATACTCATCATGAAATCAACACATCAAGGCTTATGTGGACTCAGAAAAATGTAACACAGTTTTGGGTCTCCTTCATTAATTCTAAAAGTGCAGAAATCTTACAGTGAATTCATCCAGCTTTGCCTGGATCACAGCACTCTTGTAATTAATCACTCCAATTTTCTACTGTTACTCTATTCTTCATCGAGCAGCAGGCTGCATGACTTAAATCAGTACTTGGATCCCAGCATTCTCCTCTTAAAAATCCATCAAGGGCTTTTGATTACCTCTCAACAAAGTCTAAACTCTTTATGTGGCTTAAAAAGTTCACTGTTATCTGTCCTATATTTCCTACCATTTCTGTGTCCTCATACTTTACACTCAAGTCATTAGGAAATTCCTCCATTTCTCAAGTAGGTCAATGTCTCTCTTATTTCTGGAACTTAAAATAGAGCAATTTCTTTTCTACACACTTTTTAATTCATACTTTTGACTCATTCTGAAGCTTCCTTCAGGTATCAACTTAAATATTCATCTGTTCATAGAGGCAGTTTACGTACATTTAATGTCTGTACAATCTTCCACCAATGGAAAACTCACATGAACCTGCCAAGCCACACTGAGATCAGAGAATTCTCTCTTCCTCCCATCTTTCTCTAAACCCAGCTCTCTCCTATTTGACTGGATTAAAAGGTGAAGTCGGGGGAAGCTGATAGTTATTTACAGTAGGTTACTTCTGTCTTCTTACAAACCCATAGGGAGAAGACTCAGGCACTAACTTTTCAAAGCTTAAGCATGTTGGGTATGTAGCACCTTTTTGTCTTTTTTTTTTTTTTTTTTTTTGAGTAATAATGATTATGTGTGAAACTATAGAAAAGTTATCTCTCAACATGTTGTCATATTAACTTAATTGTTATTTCTTAAATGACATATCTTATGAGGGCAAGAACCGTCTTCTTTATATCAATATTAGATTCTTACAGTCTTCCATAGTGCCAGGTACACAGGAGATGCTCAATAAACACATATTAAATGAGACAGAGAAAAGAAACCTCTGCTCCAAAACCGTAAGGCCTAGTTGGCAAAATAGTTTCTGAGTTCAGTCATCTTGTACCAACAATCTTGGAAGCAAATATTCAACTTGGTTAGTAATATCTTCCTTAAAAGTTTGGTTTTACTCAAGGTAATGTAGACACGATAGCTTTACATTAAAATATTTGGTAAATGTACGGCACTGTTAGTGCATATGCTTCACTAATTTGAATTATGAGAGAAAATCCTCTCTGATATGTCTCTTTAAAAAAATCCAGGAAGGTAAAAAGAAAGAAAGAAAGAAAGAAAGAAAGAAAGAAAGAAAGAAAGAAAGAAAGAAAGAACTCAAATAACATTATTTTAAAAAGCACAACTTACCTCCACGGCCAAAATTTCCAATCTCATTTGGGCCACTATTGCTATTATTTACTGGCAAGCTTGTGGCTGGCCAAGAGTCAGCAAGCCATGGATAGTTGGGATCACCAGCATTAAGAAGGCCTGGACGGCTGAAACAGAAATTACAAGTAAATCAACCCATGAAGCTCAGTGCAAGATTTTGACAGCCGTCTCATGCAATATAAAAATTGAAGATATTAATTGACTTCAAATTTATATATGTATACTCCCTAGAATTAAAGAACTCCAGCAATTCATTAAGGTTGTACATAGATCAACCCCAACAGTGGAAGGAGGGAGTCCTTGCCAGGTATTCTGTCGATGTCCAAATGAATTCAGGTGTCTGTCCTGAAATTGGTAGGAATCATTTACATACTAGGATCCCAAAGCAAGGTTTGATGATAAATTGGCACCTCAAAGGAACAACTGCTCAAAGTGACAGCTCTATGCCAGCCATATCTAAGACTTTGGGCTATTCTTTCCTCAATTCCTGCAGCTCCCTTACGTATCTGTCCACTCTAGGCTGTAACCCTTGTTATGAGCCCTCATGCTTGATTTGGAGGCAAGGAACTTAAGGGAAATTAATGAATGGTATTTGCACTGTTCCATCAATAGCATATTTCCAAGTTCTCTAAATTGCAAAATAGTAAGTGTATATTAAGGGTTTTGTTTAGGGTAATAAAGGATACACTGTGATATGATCCAGCATGTGAGTACAGTCTATGAGAAAAACTTCCTTCACATCATATTTAATAAAGAACTCCTCCTTTAATATAAAAGATGGGATTCTGATTCCTTTCCAGACTACTAGCATATTTACCAGGGAATGGAACATCTATAATCATTACACTTTTTTCTTTTTGATAGACCCCTTCTGGTACAATCCCTAAGAGAAACATGTGTTTCTATGGAAACAGCAATAAGAAGACCCAACTGCTTTCTTGCTACATGCACTAACTCTCATTAGACTTAATCTCTTTTTGCTAAAATATTGATTAAATGGGAGATTGGAAGTTATTACCAGAGCCTAATTACAATCTCCATATTGGCAAAGGGAAAATAGATGAGGATATATGAGTTTGTTATCAGCTTTTATCAATTTCAATTGAGTATCCAAAGTTGTGGAATCCAGTCCTATCAATCTACAGCCTATTCATCATCCATGAATCATTTACTTTGTGATCGATTTTGTGTAATTGTTCACTCACAGCAATTTAGTGAGAGCCAATAAGGAGTCTTAAACAACAGCAACTTCATTTGCTAATGTCTAATTAATGCAATAAACATCCTGCTAACAAATGAACACATTCCATGTGATATTTACTACTAATTTCTTCAGAGGCATCTGGGAGATATGAAACATCTGGACTTGATTCCTCTAAAGTGCACAACAGATAGATCATTAAACTTTGTGGTAAGCCATTTAATTCCTCCTAGAATTCTCAGACTTATAAGTGATCATTTATTACAGTAATAGCCTCTTACTATAGAGTTCTGCAGTCCTGATTAAATATAACAATAATAATAAAAAAAAATCTCCTTAGCATACCTTCCATTGCTCATTAGTCCTCCGTCTCCTCTTTGAAATGTAACTGTAAAAAAAAAAGGAAGATATACACATACAAGTAGTCAATATTAATTACAATTAATAACAACTGTATATTGGCCCTTAGTTTAGAGCTGAGGCCTCTGGGAATTTTAACAAAATATAATTAACATAATTGTACAGAGAGTAACAAGCAGTGGTTTGGCCCAAGGCAAAGCCATCATTTGATGCAACTTTAATAGGACATTTCAAAATTCTTTAAGCCAAATCCATGTTTACGTTAAAGAACCAATTTGCATTGAAATGTCAAACCTGTTACAATTAGTATATATAGTGGTATTGAAAGATCAATGCAGCGTTATTGTGAATTTATCAAAATCAAGACTTTTAGTTTTAAAACAAAGGTGTCCCAATTAGAAGGGAAAAGTGTTTTACTCATAATTTTGAAATTGAAGCAGGAGAGTTCAAACATGTTGTGTCCTCCTAATGAAGCAAGAAAAACAAATACTTAATGACTATATGTTTTTCACAATCACAAATTCTTTTATGATAGCCATAAACAGCTATAATTATAATAGATATGAACTACAATTAATAGAGAATAACATGGTCACAAAAATGAAATTTTCAGATAATCAATCCTGAATATATTCCTAATTGTATGTCGTGATCACAAAGGTGGACTCCTCCATCTAACTATTGGACTTATTAACAACACCAACAAGCATCCACCAGAGCCACAGCCAGTGAATCCACTGTCTCCAGTCGACAGTTTCAAGACTACAAAGTCAATAACATGACAGTGGATTTTAAGGGCTGGCCAAAGAATATTATTATCAGTTTGGGTCCATCATCCATTGTTCAAACTTTTGCAGCCAAATATATTTGAACTCCAAAATGATTCAGAATTGGGAAATGTAATATACTTTGAATACTACAAAGAGAGTCTAAGACAGTAAACTGTACTCAAAGTTATTTAGTTTTTCTGTAGTGGAATGTGAATATCCATGATTAGTAGGATAAAGTCTACAAATAGCTTCACATTGGTTTAGATCAAATTTTACTGTTGGGTTAGTTAACTAGAAAATTATTATTTTTTAAATGTAGTGTTCAGAAGTGTATAGCTTGCAAAGGTACAATGAACCTGCAATTCTGACCAAAATTAATCTAGATTGGCTAAAACAAGCACTGGAAAGGAAGGAAAAATACTACCATTTTCACAGCTGTGAACTCAATAAACCCTATCTTTGGAAGGGGTTGATTATATTTGCTGTGATTTTTTTTTAAATGTGGTGAATACAGGTGAAAATAAATGAAATTTAATTAACTGATTCATATTTTAAGTAAATAGAGGATATATTACCACTTTATATATATATATATATATATATATATATATATATATATATATATATATAGTGAATACTTTTTAATTTGCATAACTCTCCATAACTCCTCTGTTCTCAAGTTTGGGCTATCAAATATGATGATCACTTTGTAAATATTACAAATTTCCAAATGCAGTTTCCCAGTCCCTGCTTTAAGTTTATCTACTGATATTACCTCTCATGATATCATAATCAGGCAATATGATAATAAAATCCAAGGCTCTTCATGAGACAGTAAAACACATTAGGGCTTTTAAGAATTTCTTATTGGTACCTGAAATATACTGTTTTATCAATTTTACATGTAATATTTCAAATGCATTGCAAAGCAATCTTGACATAACCTTTGCATCTGCTCAGGACTAGATATAGGCACATGCTCAGAGAAGATGAAAGAATACAGATTGCAAAAGGCTCACTTAAGTGCAGGGAATCAGGAATCAGCAGTGCATCTGTCCCACATTGTGCCCCTTTAATAACTGCTTTTAGTAAAAAAGAATTAATCTGAAATAATTAAGGCAAAAAATTGAGCACTGGAGATATTAAACAAACGCCTGATTAGTACACACGCAATGTGAAAACAGTATAGCTAATTAGCTTTCCATTTGATGTGACTTTCTAGTTTGTGGTTTTTTTAATGGACTATCAAGTGATTGTTTTAGTCTGTTAAAAGAGAGTTAAGATAATAGTGTGAATCTCATTGTGAATATGCAAATAAGCAGATGCTGATGGGCTACACCTCAAAATGTGCTGTTTAAGAGATATGTGAGAAGCAGAATAGTTTTCCCTAATTTAGATGCTCTTTTGTCCCATTCAAACTTTCTGTTACTGCCAGAGCAATCGATAGTATTAGTGGAAAGGAGGACAAGAGAAGCAGAGGTAGAAACACTGAGTTGTACTTAACTTTACTACACGAATCAGTGGCAAGTTCTTCATAACATGTAAACTTTAAAGTATTATAATGGAACACTGAAACCTTATCAAAAATGTATCATGCATTAAAGTTAATTTGCAAACTTGTTTGAGTAAGAACGCTATAGTAGGTATGACCCATATCTGGAAATTGAAAACTGAATGCTATGAGTAAAATAATCTCAATTTCAAAGTATTTCATATTGAACATTTAGGACATACCTATTTTCTGTTTGTGTTCCTATCAGCATTAAAATATGCTTTTCGAATGGTTCGAACAGGCTGCTAATAGGGTGTCAAAATATTCTATAAAGACATTTATCTCTGTTTTAACTCTGCATATTAACTATACAAAGGCAAAACTTCACACTACATTGTGTAAATATTTGATAACCTTAAAAAGTCTCATAAGTAATTTAGTACACAATCTAATTTTCCATTTTGTATTATTTTTGTAAGAGATTTAAAAAAGAAAACTTTTATCTTAAGGGGTTATTTAGTTGTGTTTTCAAAGCAAAGAAAAAAGGGAACACTTTTTTAAGTCTCATTTTTTTTACTTTAGTCTTCAAAACTTTTAGATTTGTTCTATTTTGAAGAGTAGATCAAAAGTGACTAACTTCTATTAGACCATGAGATTTAAGGCAGACTACAATAAGGATGAACAATTCGGACTCCAAAAGTGGAAATTATATCTGGTATTTTGATCAGCATTTTTTTGGTTGTGCAGAGGGATGAACATACAAATAAAATGCCACAGCAAAAGGAAAGCAATCTTGAGGTGGTTCTCATTTCAAAGAAATGTTTGCCTTGAAGCTGTAAGAAGGGTTGGGAGTGGTCAGACAATCCTGTTCTTGTCACAATTTTGACAATCACAGAGTAGTAACTTTGTGCTTATAAGAGATATATACAGAATAACTGAATCTCAATCAGATGTCTCTGCTAGCATCTAAAATTAAGAACTTTCAAGGAGTTACATACGAAAGATTTTAGCTTATACTAACCGAAGAGTGCTAAGTTTTCCAAAAAGTTCTGCAGATGCTGCAATCTAACATGTTTTTGAATTGCATAAAATATTTTTAATTTCTTGTAATTTTTATAACATATATAAATAAGGTAAAGAGATTTTGCAAGGTTATGACATACAAAAAGTAACTCTAATATTACCTCACAGGATTAATCCTAATCTCATGCTTGCTACAACTGGGGTAGAGGAGGAGAAAAACATAACTGCAGTAAATTGACATTTGGAGTGAGGAAGCTTTCAGAGTGCCTATCTCTACTAGGTCACATTTTCCTACTCCAAATGGAAACTTTAATATTTCAGCCAAGCCTCATTCCCTTTCCTGATAAGCTATTTCTCAAATATGAATGTAGATTAATCCTTTTTTAATAAGCACTAACTCAGCCCAGATAATCAGAGTATAAAAATTCCATCAAATATTTTAAGTGACTTTGGATAATTTTGTCCGATAATTTGTATTTCACTGACAGTTTTAAGACCGATGTGTGAAGTGTTTGGCATTTCACCTAATTTACTCACTCATATTAAATTGTTTATATTTACTGAGCTTCAGAAAATCTGTTATCTTCAGAGCCAGCCATCTATCGGTTAAGTATAAAAGTTCTGAAAGCTTCTCTCTGGCTTGGCCTTATTCCAAAATACTTGAAGGACATAGCACCTTCTGAGTTAGCAGTTCTTCTACAAGCAGATGAGTATCAATCACAATTAAAAAAAATAACCATAATAGGAAATATACTATTCTTGTCAATCTCAAAGATCAACATATATTTTCAAATCAAGTGCATAGGTTTTGCAAAGAATTGCTGTTAAACAAAGAAGAAAAGTCTGTCTGGTGTAATTTTACTAACAGCATAAACTTACTAGCTATGAGATACATTTTATTCATAAGGAGTGAGTGAATGAAGAAGTATGGAGGATAAAAATGCAACATTCCAAATGTGAATATATTAGAACTTTGCGCTGAGTTGACCAGCATAGTCAATTTTTTATTATCATTGCTAATGTCAAGTGAAGAGATAAACACAAAATAATCTGTGAACTAAATCAGTTATACCTTATGTTTTACATGATGTATACGAGTGTATCACAGATACATAATATAACATGGTGAATGATTAAACAGAAAGGTTGATGGCCAATATCTTCAGGAATGAAGGCCGAGAACTGGACTGCATAACAAAAAATTACATTAAAGTATCATTAATTTTCAAGACTTTGACACTCATGAGTTATCGCCTAGCACCCCCTTCTGCAAAGACTCCCTCATTGTTGAAGTGATACAGCACTTAGGTACCAAATTATGAGGAAGCAGAGAGGCAGCAGCCAATGAGAAATGAGAATGGCATGTCACCCAACATTGAAGCTCCTTGTCAATGGATGGGCTGTACTGCTTTCTCTGGTTCTGGATTCTAACCAGTAATGAATATATTTTATCTTCAGAAGATATAGGCATGAGCTACAATGCTATAATGAAATGATCATAAACATGTAAATGCATCAAATAACAAGCAAGGCAACCAAGTCAGTGCTATACTTAGCATTTTGCACTCTTTCCACATTCTCAGCAGTTTGGGAACCTACAAGCCACAGCAGCTTAAAAGCATAACAACCAATGATGCCGCTGTCAAACTCAGTTACAAAGACATTTGTGCTTCCTACCAAAGTTAATATTAGAAATAGAAGATTGAATATAATGTTTCCAAAATTTCTTACATGCTTGTAGAATGATATCAAATTGAAACTGCTCCTTTGTAAATTCTAGAACGTATAAAATGTTGTGAGATATTTCTTGTTATTGTGGCTGGAAAAAATATTTTAAATAAACTGCACTTAAAATTGTAATTGAACATAGATCCAGAGTACTGAGTTTATTCTCTCAATCACTGACTATATAATTTTGTGTCTCTGTGTCTCTTTTCTCTCTTCCTCTCTCTCTCTGCCACGGAGGCCACAATATAGGATGCCCTTGAAACTCTGTCTTGGATTCTAAGAAAAAAACATTGTTATGAACATGTAGACCACCTAGGGTCTTCTTTTTATTGTTCTGCTTCAGCTTCTTTCTCGCTTTCTTCCTTTTCCTTTCATTTTCTTTTAAAATACTGCTTGTTTGCATGGTAGTAAGACAGTCTATTTAAGTGAACAGTAAATCACTTAATTCATGCTTCATCGCTTTTATCAATTCTGGTGACATTTTTGCTTGCCTGTATTTTTCATGAGAGACATTTCCTATTGTAATCTGCATCCTAATACACTAAAAGCTATATTTCATATTTTTCTTTTTTTCTGAGTATTTTAGTGATGCTCTTGTGTAAATTCACTTCTCAAAATGGCTTCATAGCATGTAAAACATTGTGTGTGTGTGTGTGTGTGTGTGTCTGTGTGTCTGTGTGTGTTTGTGATTTCAAAGAACTAGTTGAGAAAAAAAGTTGAGCATTTTATCAGTTTGTACTCTTGTTATGCTTCACTGGAGTAACAAGCAAAAAGATTGCCCTGTGGTTATAAAGCGATATGGTCAAGAGCAGTAAATGAGAGCATGTTGGATATAATTGCATTTTACAGTGCTGGTTTCTAAAATAAGCCAAAATCACTTATTTGTTATTCAATTCTGTTCCTTCTATTCATTTCATTACATTCCTACAGATAAGAGGTTTTCTTAGCTAGAAATAGTCACTTACCAGCATAATTACTGAGTCCCTTCCTCTTCTTTCTTCGCCAGTACAACCAGATGCTGAAACCCATCAAAATTACCCAGCAGGCACCACCAATACCAGCTATAAAGGCTGGTTGCTTCACCACATCAGTGATTTGCTCAGTTATACTGTTATTGTTTTCAGTAATGACAACTTCATTACGTCTCCCTATTAAAAAAAATTGTGTTAGTAAATAATAAAATAAAAATAAGCACAGGAATACAAACATGGTGCATCAAAAATGAAGAAAAATTATTTTAAGGCAGGAAATACTTGTTTTGAGCCTATCACAATTATTGATAAACATAGTTCATAATTTTCAAAAGAGTAATCAAATCATGAGTTTGAAATGTGATTAAGAACACTGACCTCTTGTGTTGTAGATTGCTATGGACAGATTCACAACCACATGTTGATTTATCACCTTATAAATTATTATGAAAATAAATACTAAGAGTTGAATTAATAACTTATCTTGAATTACATAAAGAGTTTTTAAATATAGTTCTCATTTTTAAGAAAGCAATTACAACTTTTAACTCAGGGTATTTGAAAATTGCCCTTCTGCTAAGGCACTGTCCATTTTAAAATGTTCATAATTCACAAGAACAGGTAACTTCATGTTGACCTTAATATTCTACCAAAGAATTTATTTTGATCAAATATCCTTTAATTTTCTGGAAAGTATTAAAACTACTATACAAAACAATGACCATTATGTAAACAGCCTTCACAGAGATCAGCATGCATAATTAAAAATTAATTTTGAGGTCTCCATTATTGAGACATCCATTTAAATCTGGACTAAGATTATTCTACAACTAGTCATGTTTGGAAAATTTGGACCTCTCAGATAATTAAGAAAATCTCAATCCACTTTAAATAGGTCTTAAACTTGTGAAATCATAAGATTTAGGGGCTTATTTAGCAGATTAAGAAATTTAGACACTGGGAATTAAGTGATTTCTAATGTCAATATCATGCCTAATTAGTGACTAATCAAAGACTTTTAAAAGGTAAATGGTAAGCAAAATATAAATGGCACATTTAAGCATATCACATCAAAGGTATGTGTGGGATTTTCTTTGTTTTAGTTACAGCACTGCAATATATTAAAAAGATCATGGTCTTTGAAGTTGAGAATTTGAATATCAACTCTGCCACTTACTAGCCAAGTAAGCAGTAAGCTTACATAGGGCACTGAATCTTCTAGAGCCTGTGTCAATTAGTTGGCAGAGTATTGTCTACTTCATATATTTTGGGAGGATTGAAGTGGCAGCTAATAAAAAAGACTGTAGTTTTTGACTCAAAATTATGACCCATGTATGTTTAAGGGTTGCTTTAAGGACCTCTCAGTCAACCTCAGTGACATGAGTGATAAATTATCTAGATTTCAGAATCCTGCAAATCTCGATTCACTTGTTTACTTCACTGCTTCTCCTTTCTTCTAGGGCAGAAAATTAGCCTACATTTCCTAGCATCTTTTACCGTTGAGAACAAAAAATAACTGAGCATTAGTCAGAAGTAAGTAGGAACAAAAAGTGCACACGACCCTCCTGGCCTGACCCCTAACGCTGCCTTGACTTGAAACTCTCTTTCCTCATTGGTTTGACAGATACAGGGGATGTGCTGGAGGCTGTTGTGCTTTTAAGAAATGGCAGAGCTATGGTTTGAAAGATCCCAATCACCTGAATAGCGGTATGAGGTAGAAACTCCATTTCTCACTCTACTGACCCATATTGGACTGGGCTGTGAACTAGAAATAAAATTTTATTTTGTTTATCTTTACAAAATGCAGGCTTTTTTACTATAGCTGCTAGCATTTCCTTATGCATACTTATATTCTATTTCTGAAAGGTCTTTTGTATTAAATTGCAGATTTATAAACCAGTGTCACTTATGTAGTAAATCTGGCTCATCTTCCCACTATGTCTGCCTTTAATTATTATACATGCAAACACAGTCAAAACTCTATGTAAAATGAGCTCTATTTTCAACATGAGACATACACCTATCTGGTGATTTCCTTAACTATTAGGAATTATCAGAAAGAAAACAAATACCTTACAGAACAAAGAGAAAGAAAAATTTGGTCTTCATTTTTTGGACTCATTTTTGTAAAGGGTCCATAAAATGTCATTTTAGTAAGGAATCATATTTATGTTACTCAAGGTGTATTACTATTTTTTATGCTGCTGGTAATTTTGTAACTATGTTGTCAGTTGTACTAATTAGAGCATAGACAAGGGATGCGTGTGATCTGTAACGCTCCATTGTTCTTGCAGACAAAAACTATAATGAAATATAATGTCTTCCTCCCATTGGAGAGTAATGAAGAACAAAACTAATTTGTTGGACTAAAAATTAATTAGACACATCAGATTCGATTGTACCTATTACTGTGAAAGTTTGAAGCTGTTCCACATATTATTTTCAACTATGTAATGTAAGCGAGAAAAGCCAAATGATTAGAGAAGCAATAACTATATTATTAAGCAAGATAACTAAAAATCTTAAGTCAATATAAATTGGTTATATGACACACTGCTTAATGAATTTATAACTGAATGTATTTGATTACATTTTTGTGTCTGTAAATGCAATGATACAGAATTATGGACACTTTGATGTGAAAGTCATCTTACCATAGGAAACAGGACAGAAAAGAACAATACCAATGTTAAGCCTATGTAAGGCAGTCTGTTACATTTTTACAATGTTCTAATTAATGATCCCTTCATAGAACTTTCTGGAAGGAAGGCTAAACTGAGAAGAAATAGATTAAACAATACATGATCTGGCATAGTACAAATTTAAAATTCTCAACCATAAATCACATCAAATGCCAATACATGATTTAATTAAAACAAAGGGGAATCCTGGTACAGTTTGAGTCATTTCAAGCGCCATTTCCAGTTCTGAATAGACAAGGGGAAAGTGTAAATTGAAACAGAAAAGGAGATTAGCCATCATTAAATCACTTTTCAACTAAGGAATAACAGTTGTGTAGATAAGGGTATCAGACAAGATGTGAAGGTAGATATGCAGGAGTAATTAAGGAAACAATTAGATGGCTTCTCAGTACAACAGTAGATATTAAAAAGAAATAAATCTCTCAAGAACAAATAGCCTTTTCCTGGTTGAATTGTCATTTGTCTGTGTGTGTGTGTGTGTGTGCGTGTGTGTGTGTGTATACACAAAAAACAGAATTTCTATAATTTTATTTTTATGATTACATTCCGAGTATAACATATTCTATTTGAATAAAAGATAGACATACTATTTTCTAGGTTACTTATATTTCATAGAAAAATGTGAATACACTTGTAGATACACTAAATAATAAGATACATTAAATAATAAATTAAAAGGTACTCATTACCTGTCTGAAGACTCAGATTTTTATAAATCATAGGAAAATTATGTGAAATTTTTGATTTGATTTAAAATAAACATTAACTTCATTACTTTAAGTTATAATTCAATTGTTCAGTGCATAATTATGATTGTCATGACATGAGCTCGGTTATATTATATGCTTGTAATATTTTACTTCTCTAAAAGAAAATAAATCATCTAAATATCTGGCAAACATATAGTCACTAGGAAGAAAAAGAAACAAGAAAATTTTGCTTGAGAATGGTTCTTACTACAAAAGATAACAAAAAAAAACTAGGAAAGGAAAATATGCTATTTGACAGTTATTTGACAATCTTATCTTTCACTTAGAATAATTATATTCAGTCAATCCATTTTATAAAGATATAGATATAGATATTGTATACTATCTCTCTGGCATATATTTGCCAGTATATATATGTATACATATACATACATACATGTACATACATATATATGTATATATTTATATATATTGTATACTGGCATATATATAGTTTTAAATAAAAAAATTAGGGCTTATTTTTAAATACTATAACACACATACAGGGACACACACACACACACACACATATATATATATATATATATATATATATATATATCTTTTTAAATAAAAAATTGAGGGCTTATTTCTAAATACTATAAATAAAAATACACACACACACATACACATATATATATGTATATATACACACACACACACACACACACACACACACACACGTATGTTAAATCCTTTTGGGTGTACCTGTATTTCTTTCTTATTCCAATTTATTTTAGAAAATCTCAGAAGGGCAAGATTGTAGGTTTCCCTCAGGTTAAGGAATTAATTCAGTCTGAATGACTAATTAAGAAAGAGAAGCCAATTTAAAGAAAAGTTAATACTTTAACTTTTCTCTTCAATGCTTTTAATATATAAAAGAAAGAAAACCTAGAGAATCTAAAAAATTTTAATGATATGACTGAATGTTAAATACAATAAATATTTGTAATAGAAAGAATTCTCCAGAAGCTGGCAGTCTGCTTTATATGCATCATTTTAGAAAATAAATAGAAAAAAATGGGAATGGCTTGTATCAAACACTGAAGAAACACTTAAAAAATACGTAAACTCTAGGAAGAATATTATTGTTTTTATTTATTTATTTATTTATTTATTTATTTATTTTTATTAAAGGCACTGCCAAACAAATAAAAGCAGGAAAAAGTGAAAGGGATGCATTTATTGGATGAAGGGCACGTTACCAGAGGAAATCTGCAGTTATGAGGCCTTGTTTCCCTTGGAGGTTCCGAAATTCATAGAGTATCAGGCAGTTAGTACCTCAGCTGAAAAAACTCAATCTTAGTCAAATGAGTTGTCTCAGGGTGGAGTTCAGGGAGGCCAGAGTGACTAAAAATTGAGGGGGGAACCATATGAAAGAGGGAGACAGTGGAGAGTGATGCTCCCAAATTGGCGTATACTCTCCTCTTACATCCAAGTGCAAACCCTGAACTGTGCAGGCAAAGAGAAGATTGTAAGGACGTGGTGAAAGACAGAGGTTTTAGCTCATGTTCACTGTAAAACTGTGCTTAATTTTGGATTTTGCCATGTTAGGAAGAATAGATAAAAATATTAGGCTTCTCCCTGGAAGCCCAGGAGAGGGTTATGCCTTGAAAGTAAATATTTTATTGAGATTTTACTGCAGGAATAAGGGCAAAACATAAAACATCTCATATCAACCAATGTAAAAACTAAGACACCACCCGTTAAATGTGATCGGCCAGTA